CAAGATTGAGTAAAGTTGATTTCACCACGTATGATTATTTTTCCATCGCGTATAGATAGTTATGCTTGTGTACACTTGAAAAGAGATTCATCCGTTATATGGTTATATATTATTATTATTTGCTTGGTTTTTTTAGTAGAGTGTGATTTTATTTCTATCATTCATTTTAATTTCAATGAATTGCATGACAATTTTACATAATAAACACATGAATTGCTGAAGTAAAAAATCTTTATGCCTAGTAAGAGTTATTTTTTACTATAAATTATAAAAATATTAAATATATGCTTAAAAAAATGTTATTACATTTATCATATATTTGATCAATTACAAATTTATTATGTCACATGTCCAAAGTGAAAAATATGGTATGTCAATATTAAGTTTACAATTTTATCACGTTTAATATTTTGAAATATACTTTGTTTAAATACATAATAATAAACATTTCTTACAAATGCTACACAGAGAAATATTTATTCATCCAAATGAGTAGTGTTCACCAGGACTCAAAATTGTTGTGATGGTATTTTAAGTTGTATCATACATAACTACAATCTTCTCATTTAATATAAATAAAAGTCTAAATATTTTTATTGACTATAATTGCATCAATTAAAGATAGTAAAGACATTAATGGAATTGCAATAAATTTATTTTGTAAGTGTAACAAGTGGAAAAATATGTCAAATACTGAACATTCAATTTTTGATCAAAATCATTTAAATTTAAATTTGAATATGCTGCTATTTGTAGAATAAATCAATATTTCTTTTTTAATGAAAATAAATTTTTTAAATTAAATTTGCACACTGAATATCGTTTTAAAATGTTTTTTTTATTTTTAAATTATTTTACTTATTTAGTATTTAAATATTCCAATCACATTAGTTGACGTTTTTAAAATGTAAGATGTCATTTTAGAGGATTAAAATTATGTTAATTTGTATGCAAATCTTGCATGAATATTTTGAAAAAAATTATGACTAATCAAAATAGAAAATTTTGTAGAGACTTTTTATGCTGGTTAAAATATGAGTAATTTATAATGGTAGAATCTATAAGATTGTGAGAAAAAACAATAACAAAATGTTTGAACACACTGATGAATTTAAAATAAAAAATAAGATGTACACAATATAATGATGTATACTGTGTGCAAAACAGTATCTGCAGCCTTATGCATAATTGAATGGATAAGAGAGTTGAATTTAAATTCAAGGTTATTATGAGTATCCAATATAATAGTCTAAACAAATATCATTCAATTTGAACTTATGGTATTATTTAATAAAAATAACTTGTAAAGTCCAAACATGAATATGAACAAAATTTTTGAATATCACTTTCTGGATTGAAAAGTTTTAAATTTTTAAAAAAGAAAGAAAAAAATTTGAAAAGAAAATAAAATTTATTGTTAAAAACATTCCGTGTTTAACTAGTAAAATATCATAATTTTGATTTGTGATTCGATTATTCTCTTAGCTATGATTGAAATTATTGGCTAAAAGTCAAGATTTGCTCAAATCGAAAGATTTGATTGAATAAAAAGAAGAAATAATATGTGTATTCAAAACATTGCTTTATAATCAATGTTTTAAAAGAAAATATAATCAAAATATAGTGATGAAATAAAAAATATAATTAAAAAAACACAATATATTACAAAATTCATTTCTAAAAAAGATATAGACATTTCAGATATTTTTAGTATTTTCATATAAAATATAATTGCAATGTGAATCAAAATATAGTGAATATTTTTGTATCTATCAAGGACAATGAACGTATCAAAGTTTAAATTTTTTATCGGTGTCAAACATATGATTATTTTTCAATCATATGAAATGTTAAGACTGGTAAGAAATGATTCATCGATAAGATATTCTTATGATAATACATATTAAAAAAGAAATAAAGATAATGACAAGAGGTTGTTAATACTTATCAACAGATCTCATATAAAAACAGGTTTGATCTCGAAAGTTAAAAATTAAAATGGAATAAAAAGATATGAAATTAAAAAAATTTTGCATATTTCAAGAAAACATGTCTTTTTGTGATTTTTAATGATGATACACTTTTAAACTTTTAATTATTAGAATTTTTCACATATATTAAGCATAAAAAATAAAAACACATGGAAAATATCATTTTACAATTAATTTGCATGAACTAAAAATAAATTAATTAGATAAAATGACCAAACTAAAATTGTAATGCATATAAAAAACTAACAGAATAACAACTTTGAAATTTTTATGGCAATACTTGCACATAGACTTCATTAAATTATAATATGAATTTTATAAGTTTCATAGAAATATTTGCCAACAGTATCAATTTGAAAGTTTTGAAATTGTAAATGTTAAGATATTAAATATTTTTTAAGAAAGATAATTTTTTAATATTAATAAAAATACATGGATGTATTCTGGAAATAAAACATAATTTTTTCAACTCACTTTGAAGTTTAAAAAAATTCAATCATTTCATACATTTTTAAGACATAAATTGTCGGGATGAAACATAGATGAAAATTTAAAATTTTATATAATTATATCAATCACTTCGGTTTTTAATTTCTTGGTTCAGAAGATATAATGTTTTTTTGAATCTTTTATTGTGCTTCTAGAACAAGATTATTATATTTAAGATTATTTGTTGATATAGGATATGTAACTTAGGTTAAGTATGTAAAAAAAATTTAGCGACGGCAATTAAATGCTTGAGTGTTGACAAAATTTGTAAACAATTTTGAGATATTAAGATGATTGTATTATTAAGATTTTAATATTGTGTTACATTAAACATGATTGAGACTTATAAGATTACTAAAATGAACGAGTGATGTTAAAAACTCATAAATAGGAGACAATATGACCTAATCTTATTGTGATCAATATTTGAAATTTTGATTGTGATCAATTTCGATTGTGATTCATATATCATTTTGATGTTACTTTTATGTGTCATATTTTATTTTGTTTTTCTTTTGTTCAGCATGTAATTTGAGACTTAACATTTAACTTCTTGTTTTAATATCAACATTATGTATTGGATATGCCAATTATTAAATTTGTCGAAACTTAGATACATTCCATCATTCATGTTATTCTAAATCATCTTAATGTGTTTTTTTGTGGTGAATTTGACAAAAACCTTTGTTCTCAAATAATTATTTTGTTATTTTTCTTTGCATTTTAATCTATACTTGATCACAAAAAGTAGTGATTTTGATTCTATAAAACTCAACTCAGAATATCAATTATTCATTTAATCTTGTATTTGACTAGATTTTAAATTTTTAGTAAAAGTACAATTATTTTGATTTCACTAAAGATCAATTTCTTTATTTGTTTATTTTATGAAAATTACTGTAAAACAATGAGAGATCTTTGGTAATTTGTTAGGGTTTGAGATATTTTAAAAAAATACAGTAAAAGCAGTGAAAGTATGAAAGACTCTACAATAAGAATTAAAAAATGTGAACAAGTAGAAACCACTTTATAAAATCTTACAGCTTGAAAGTGAAACTAAAATCTAATACATGTTTGGAGTGATTTTTAACGTATTGTGAAACTTTTAGGCAGTCAAGAGTTTTCACTAAAATTTTTAGAAATTAAAACTTGTAATAGTCACTAAAAATTAAGCTCAATTGAGGATTTCTTTGATGCATGATGACGGTTGAGATTGAAAGATTTCGTGGTTGTATTCATTTTGAATTCGATAAGTGTATTGCTTGCGAAGTCTGTGTACGATGCCAGATGTCTTACTCGAAGACTTGTCAAAGTAGTTCAACATATTGTTGTGCAAAAAATGAAACGTCATATTGGTAAACGTCTTGATATTCCTTGTGGAGTAATTTCCTCACCAGTCCATATTCAAAACTTTCCTTTAGGTTATGAACCTTTTTTAGGCTTCAAAGTCAAAATTGCAGATCTCATTTATTATTACAAGTTTTGTACAATAGCTATAACTTTTGCTATAAAGATTTTTCTTAAAAATGAGAATTATATGACAATTCATGTTACTATGAAATTTCATGTTCATTTAATACATGATTAAAAACATATTGAAAGAATGGTATACGTGAATATGCACGACATATTTTCATATACTTTATGGTTTAAAGAATTGTTGGTAATTTGAACTTTGTGAAATTAGTCTAAAAGTTAATTTAAAAAATTATCAGTTAAATCAATTCAAATATTAAAAACCACAAGTTTATTATTATAATTTCTGTGAAGAGTAAAATGAAAATTGTGAATCTAATATTAGATGACAATGACTCACTCAAGAGATATAGAGAGTCATTCTACAATGAGACGCTTGGATGTTTACAGAGTGAAAAAATGTTAGTCAACATCTCTAATAATAATTTGATTGATATTTGCAATGAGAATTATTTGTAGCAATATCAACATAAGAATTAATTTATACATATTAGTTACATTAAATGTATAAACACATACAATACCCAAAAAAGTAAAAGAGAAGGTTTTGAAAAAAAAAATTGTTAGTTTTTATGTAGCACTAGCTATATAATCTAACCAATCTTGATTTGTGAAAAAGAATCTTATAATTCTTATTAATGTCATCCAAGATTGAGCAAAGATTTTACGAATTGAAAAATTGAGGTTCACTTGAGAATTTAAAAGATGTCCAAGATGCAATTGAGTGTACAAAACAATTTATGTTCAATCAGGAACTATATGATCCAAATTGATGCTAAAAATGAGTTAATGGAAATGGGAATCAACTGTAAGGTAGGATAACAAGAGAAAGTGTGTTGTATATTTACAGGTATGTTCTACGGATGGGGCATATTGCAAATATAACAAAATTTACATGATGGCAAAAACTTGTTTGCTATCATGTACTAAGGAGATTGCATATTTTAAACTTATTGGTGTAACAAAATATTTATAACTCAAATGTTATAAGTATGGAGAGCATAGCAATATTAATAGGGCCAGACTAGGGCCACACTTATTTTTGCTACGGCCACACCCGCCCGCTAATTACTATGCCCATGCCCGCTTTTGCTACTACCCAAGCGCACTTTTGCCACTACTCAAAGAGTTACAAGCGGCAGCAATGCGGGAGACAGCGATGGCCGCAGCAGCCCCGCGCCACTCGAAGCCTCTCGACTACGCTCTACTCTGCCTCGCGGACGAGCTCGACTTAGCAGCTGGGTTTGAGTGAAGGCGTGCTTTGACGCACAATCAGTTGTTTGTATGTAGCGGGTGTGGCCCTCATATGGCCTATATTAATATGTGCTAATTAGATCCAAGATGAAGATCCTAATTGCACCCAATGGCAAGAAAGATATAAGAGAATATAACTTGTTTCCACAAATGTATAAGAGTTACAAGAGATTGAAAAATAAGGTGTTGCTTAGACCCTTGGCATGTGTTGAATATGACGTGGAAATCATCATCCTTCATGCCACATTGCTGTGGACTCAGAATACATGGCCCTTCATCTTCTTCTAAGGTATGAGTCTGGACTATGAAGACCACCACAACCGAAAAAGCAATACATCTTCTCATCTGCAGGGCAGCCATTGTGATGGGAATAAACAGAAGGAGCCTCTTCTCTGCAGCCAAATAATGCCAAGAGCCGACTATCATCTGTTCGTTAAAAAACATCAAGACGAAAAATACAAACACTCAATGGAAATAATACTAACACACACAAAATACATACAAAAATACTGAAACCCAACAGCTTACCGGAGAAGGAGACCTTGGAGTAGATACAAGCAGCACGCCTTGTATAGCATCATCACCCTCTTATAGATTGGGGAAAGAACACCTGAACGTAGCTGCGAGGTGCTCTGACCCCGACAAGTGAGCCTGGCTGTCTAAGGTATATCGAAAATATCCCATCAGGTCGGGGACATTTGAAAGTGTCAATAAAAGGGAGAAGAATATTCCGAAGAAAGGGAAAAATTGAATATGCTGAGTAAGCGTCGTTATAAGTGTAAGTGAGAAAATCCGACCTCTACGTCTTCCTATAAAGTTTCTGAAGCCTTTGAGTAGCTAACAAATATTATTTTCCACCCTTTTATGGCCAGTTTGCGCATGAAAGGGTGAAAAGAAAAGAAATCGTGTTAGCTACTCGGTGGACCCAAAGTTGCTCCCATAATGCGCAGACTTAAGACCTTAACCGGAGTAAGTGTGTGGTGTGAAGTGTGCCTAGCGTAATTTATACACCAGGAACTTCTGGTCCCACTTTCTCCAACTCAAGTTAGTGCAAAGGGAGCCTAAGCCTAGGGAACGATGATGGCAGAAAGCTAGGACCTGGAAGGAACGGCAGCCACGGCGAACCACGTCCATCAAGTGCATGAATGTACGAGGTAGGGGTTGAATACGGGGGGGTTGACTACAGTCAACCCCACATGTCAGACGGCAGTGCCCTGTTTTGTCATGCAGGCACAAAACAAATGTCAATGACCTTGCCAACCGTCCCTTTTATGACAGCAGTCAATGCCAGTCGCTTTGGAGGTCCTCGGAGGAGACGCAGACCTACCACAAAAGACTAGAGCCTAGGCCCGAACTTCATTGACATTTTGGACTTCTCTGATGCTCTCGAACCGTTTGGGCATCCACTTGATGCGAGGGGAGCAACTCGCCTGGCCTACGCATGCATCGTCCTCGTCTGCTATTCGTTCCCCGACTTTCTATCCACAATTTTCATTTCCGAACTGGTCATGACGTGCGTGTGCAAAGATAAAGCATACCTCTGACATGGAATCAGATGGGGTATCGTGTATACGGTAGGGGCTCCGGTTCAGTGAAATGTACAGCACAAAAGACTGTTGACTTCTTCACTTCTTCAGCAGCGCATCGCAGCTCCGGGAGGGAGGGAGCGAGGGAGGGTCTTGCTAGCAAAAGCGAGATACACTGCCTTCAAATACACTTTTCATCTTGAATGTCATTCTCACCAACATATATGCGAAAAAGCTTCCACATTAATCTGAGGATTTGTCGCAGAGAGAGAGATCCTATTGGATAAATATTGTATGCACCACATCTCTTTTGAAAGAAAAGGTCCGCAGATAAGGTGGACATCAATGTCGTGGGCCCTTGATTTATTCTGTAAGAGCAAATTTTGCTCTGGAGTGTTGTGCACACAGTAGTTGTAGTTAGGGATCCGGACGTTGAATAATAATCTTCAGGATATTTGAGAGGTTCACGTCTCAAGTTCTGTGTGGGTGTGTGCTACTCTCCAGAGGTTGTCTCGAGATTCGGCTCAGTGCTACTGCTTTTTCCTCTGCAAGTGGCTCTTGAAACTAATTGTTTGCTTTCTGAAAATATCTGAACTGTGATAAATAATAATTTAATCTACAAAACGAGCATGCAAATTTAAGGAGTGATAGCGAGCATGTGAAGCTCTTAGAGGCTAAATAGTACTATTGGGTTATGTGCTGCAAAAGATACAAAATAGCATCAATGGATCAGAAGTGAAGGGAGGGAGAGATTTTAAAGAGGAGTGGGGCTTTGCGGGTACGAGGTGGAGTACAGAGAAAAACGTCACTCATCGTCCACATGAGTCACAATAAATGATGAAAGAAAGACTCAATTTTCTAGTATTGATAAGTGGTCAATATTAAAGCCAATCAACTCTACAGCTCACATTCCCTTCTTTTCATCTAGCTCTAGATTCTCTGGATCATATTCGAGTGTAAGATTTTTCAGATATCTCTTTTGTAAGGTCTCTCTTCAGATTTGCCTGCCAAGGATAGAACATCAAAGACGTTGTGCTCATGCTGGTGTTTAAGAGGCTCATATTTCATCTTTGAACCACAGCTATCATATTTTTTGATGGTTTTGGGTTTTGTTTTCTTCGTGACTGAATTTTCCAACTAAAAAATACAATGTTTCACATATTGGAAATGTCGATGTTGAACCTTTCCTTTCCCTTCTTATTTTGGTAGATGATGTACACGCGTCAGACCAAATGACGATAAAAAGCCATTTTCAATCACCTCGATGAGTGCGATTTGCTCTTAATTCGATAACACAAACCTGGGATTTACTATAACAAAATTGCAACACCCTTTTTTTTCTTTTTCAATAAACGTCTGAATATTTTCGGATTCTCTACATACCCCTTCATGAATGCCAAACCCTTTGTATAATTACTTACAAGCAAATAAGCATGAGCGAAACGTTTAGTATATTTGGTATAGAGTATATACAGTATATACAGTATATTTCTCACTATAAACTTTCTCAAGATTGATCTAAAATTCAATCTTTAGTAATCTTCAACCTGTAAAGAATCGAAGAATATAGGTCGTTGTACATTCTAACATGCATTTAAAAAAATTGGCCACCTATCCAGTATTTATTAATTGATAGCTTCAACGTTGGGATGACATCGAAGTCCAAAGCAGCTACATATCTTCCAGCTGTAAGGCGAGCTGGGAAGGGGATGAGGTAACAGTCACTAACTTTTAAATAACACTCGTCAATGCAGTAAATTTCGAGTTTTTCGAAAGTCACTTACGTGAAGATGAAGACAAAATAGAGAGAAAACTACTATACCTTATGAACAAAGTGTTGATATTTCTTATATTATCATGAATCATTATATTTTAAAATGATATTACCAAATAAAAAGTTTATATGCAGTGACATGAGACTAGTTATATACGATATTTCATTTAAGTGTATCGATTTTTAAAATTTAGATTTTTATACAGTATATAATTCGAATTATAAATTACATAAATCGAAAAGAAAAAATGAAAATGAAAAACAAGAAAATATTATCTGAAAAATATATAAAAATATATGAATATCTTGTAACATAAAACAATTAATATAGATAAAGCACGAATCATATAAAACATCGTTGATATCATATCTGATAAGAAAACAAAAAATAATAGTATTTTGCAGGATAAAATCTTTATTCTTCATTCTGTAGTAAACATGTAGACTTGAAAATATGTTCATTTTCTAGTCTACATGCACTCCATCAACTAACAACTGAAAGATTCTACGTATAATATAATCTTTGACATTTTTGACATGATCTTGTGATAATTTATTTTTAACACGTCATTTGCCCACGCACATTGAATACACTTAAATTGTGGATAGCCTGCCTCAGACTGTTTAAATGACGTGAAAGAAAGTCTTCATTTAAATCAAGTAATGTTTGAATACTGAAAAAACTTATTATTATTATAAAATAAGGATTTGGATAATAGTAATATATGATATAGTAAAATTAGATCACTAGTAGAAATTAATCAAAATTTCAAGTTGTAATAAATTTCTAAAAAGTTTAAAATGATATTTTTTTATAATGAAATCTATATAAAAATATACATATATAATCTAATAGTGCCAAAATCAATTTTTTTTATAAAACTTTGTTTCAGCAGAATTTCAAAAGATATTTAATCATGTATAGAAATTTTCTTTAGTGAAAAAATCAGATAAGCAACATATATGATCTTTGAAAAGAATGAGAGGATATTTAAAGCTTGAGCTTTATTATCTCTATCAGCTTGCATTAGATTACAATTTGATCAGATGTTTCGTTATCTGTGCACTTTCTTTAAGGAGACAATAATTTATAAAATTTTATTTTTTAATCACAAAAAAATTCTTTATCAACAAGTATGAAAATTTATGTCAGATTTGATCATATTTCTGCATGGAGCAAGTGAAATGAAAAGCATTTACAATTTTTTTTGGACTTTACATAATAATTTCATCATAAAATCCTTAATGCATTATTAAAAAATTTATTTATTTATTTTTAATCTCAGAATCTACAAAACTATCATTTAAAATATATTTGTCAACATATTTTTATAAATGAACAAAGAGAATCATAAAAATGTATAGATAAAAATATATATTGAAACTAAAAATAATGTAATTGAATTCTAATTTATATTTAAAATTATAAGAGGTTAAAACACAATATAGAAATAGAGATTTCAAATGTTGACCAAAAACCTTTTCAAAAAGATGTTACAGATCTAGTATATTTGTCAATGATATATTTTTGCTTGTTCCACTACACATGCATACATTTATTTATCTATGATGCACACTTTTTTCCAAATGTATTATCAGGCTAACATTTCTCTTCATTTCATGCTTTATCATATTTATTCCTCGCTTTAAATATGATTAATTATCTTGATCATTATTGTCGCATAATGATCAACATAATTAACTTCCTTACAAATATCAGATCAGTATGAGTTGTCACATAAAAAAGAAAAAAAAAAAGAAAAATCTTCTTATTTAATAAAGAATATAATTGAATATGATATTTACTCTACTGAGTATAAATTGTTGGGCCAAGATTATATAATTTGAATGTTATGTTCTAAAATCTGTATACCAGTTACTATGCATTGACAAAAATATTTTGAAATTCAAAAAATTTATCTAGTTTGAAATGATAACACTCAAACATTTAAAATGCAAAAATTTTAACTTTTTATTTTTTACGATAGTTTCTGATTAATTATATTATTTTATCAGATCATGCATTTCAAAATAACATATTTATAGATTTTAAAATAATACAGTAGAACCTGCTCTGGGACCAGGGGTAGGGTATTAACTTATACAGGTTATTAATTTACAAAGGGTCATAGTCACGCCATAGTACTCTACCACCACTATGCAACACGCAGAAACCCAACCAAACCAAACCAGAACACACAACAACCAAACCCACATCTTCCAATGGCTCCAAGAAGACAACTTCCTCAAAGACGACCATGACCAATGAGGTTTTCGCGTTTAGGGTTTAAACCCTAATCCCTTATCCAAACCATAAAACTAAAGACCCTTGATGCAATTCAGAAGATAAAAGACAAAGTGAGTGTCATTCGCACTAACAAACTCGTGCAAATTGTGAAGTATTTTACGAAGTCGTAGGTAGCAAACATCAATAGCTTTTCATAGGCTATATTAAATTATAAAAAATTTGGGACCGGCTAAAAATTATTAATTATCAAATTATGGAGGTTTATTAATAAATGTATGGCCCGGGAGGGAACTGCCACGATGGTATTAAATAATAGAGGTTATTAATTTATGCATTATCAATTTAGACAGGTTCTACTATAGCAATGAAACTGCATGTTGATATCGGATGTAATAACCTTGATGCATCTAAGAAATTGCCAATTTTATGTTGCTTTAATAAGCTTTATAGCTGATAAATTTTTTTTTAAATATCTATTTTTAAAAATAATTCGTCTAATGAAGAATGTTTTAAAATTTGTTGAATGCTGTTTTATATAACAGTTTAAAATTTTTTAACAAATACTTCAATCTTAATCAAATTCAAAATATTTAAAATGAAAATTTTAGAAATTTATTTTCCATTATTGAAATTATTTTGTATGTTTAATTATTTTCACTTAATGTTGATTCAGTATAAAAAGCAGAAAAAATCAGAAATATTGTATATTAATACAAATTTATGCTCATATACATAAATATGAAAAGTTCAAAAAAATCATAAAACTTTATTTTCATTAAAATAAATAATATTTAATCAATTACGTATTTAGATTATAAGTAATTATTATAAAATTTTGAAGATTATGTCCTATATTCTATTTATTAATAATTATGCATTCGATTAAAATTTTGAAATAGTAAATTGTGAAATAGTTCAAAAAAATACTCAATTTCTTAGTTTCTTGCTTAATTATATATAATTCATATAGTAAATTGAGATTTGTGATTGATTCTAACAAAAATTTTTGATTGTGACATTAAGAGACTAACATAAAGTAGGAATTTTTTTCTCAAAATAAAAAACTGTGTCATTAAACCAAAGTTTTGATTTTCGACTATATATTTTATCATATGTACAGATTTTAAAAACAAACTTATTTCCATATCTTTTTAATAAATCTAGTCATGCAATTTATTCCAATATGCATGTACAATTAAATGACAGAACAAATTTATCATGTTATTAAGTATACATGCTTGTATCTATGACCTTGGAAGAAAGCTCATAATCTTTATAATTCTTTTTTAAGTACTTCGGTGACTTGAACATGCCACAATGAGAATGTTTCAAGGTAAACTGTAGTTAAGTTAAGTCATGTTTATTCAACATACTGTTTGCATGTCTGTCGCGGTTCTCTACACAAGTATACAGAGCATGAAAGTCAAAAGTGACATAAGAAGAGTTGCTAACCTATCATGCTGTGACATCCTTACATCTGATGATTTAGATGGCGGTCTACTGTTTATCTTGTCTTACTTTGATAAAGTTTGTTTTGGATATCATTGCATTTATAGGTTCTGCCATGAACATCAAGCCAAAACGATGTAATTTATGTCTTTATATTCAATTTTTTTGGGTATTGATCATAACTTACAAATTTCCAAAATGTTGATGCCATTTTTTCAATGTTGCTCTCATCTGAGTCTAGCCAAATATTCATTTTTTTGAATTCCGAAATTGAGGTAATGAAATACATAGTTTGAAAGATACTAGCACAAAAAACAATATATCACACTACCATATCGGAACCTCAAGAGTACCAGATAAGACGTCTGATACTCTCCATGCACTTCAGGTCGATTTATCTCTAGTCGAATGTCGTCCACATCCAAAAGACACATGGAAGAAGATTAAATAATAATCACAGTTTGACGAACAATTTTGTGTGCATATATTGTTATCTTTTTGAATGTTGTCTATCAATGAATCTCACGTCTTTTGTTGGTGTGTGATAGTTTCGGGAAAAAAACTAAGGATACAAAACATAAAGGAAATTGAATGAAAACGTATGTTTTTGTATCGCTAGAATACAAAAACATACGTTTGAATAGAAAATACACTAGGTCCAAAATCATTGTCCTTCCTTGCATGCATTTAGAGTGTATATATTTCCAGTTGAATCTCTGCTCACTCCAAAAAACTTCTTTACATGCACCTTGAGTAAATATACTCCCCGCTCAAAAAAAGAAAAGAGGATGAAACATGGACTTCATCGAAGAGATGGGTTTGCCCGCCACAGGCGCTTGAGAAAAGAATTCGCCAAGTGCTGCTTTTGGTAGAGGTAGTTTATAAATTCACGTCTCAACATTCATGAGGGAATAACAATATACAGCATGGTGAATAATTACACCGAAAGCAATGGTCCACACCTGTTAGATACAGAGAAATAAATGGCGACCGGCTGGACAGCGGATATGCCTCAATGTAAGAGATTCCAAATTTGCAAACCGGAACGAAATGGCTTCCAGACGGCAAGTCAACCGAGCAAATGGAACGGGGCTGCGCAGTTCATCAGGAGGCCCCTCTCGTGCCCATGTCCGTAAATGCCCAGCGCCGGTAACCCGTAAAGGCGAGTGCGAAGCGAAGCAGGAGCCCGATCCACGCGGCCTACAGTTTCTTGGGCACCGGTGGCAGCCCATAAATGAAAAGAGCCGGTCTACTACCGCGCGGTTTTAAACCGCGCGCCGGGCTGCAGAGCAGGGCAGGGGAAGGGCAGGGCAGGGCAGCTTCTAGGCGGTGCGGGAAAGTTCGCTGGCGACCGTGCGTTGTCCACGACCGGCGCGGGCGGACGGTCAGGATGGCCGCGGGGCAGTCAACGCCAGATGTCACGCCCCGGGCGGGAGGGAGGCGCGGATCGGTGCCGGGCGGAGCGCCGGTGCCGTTAAAGCGCCGGTGCGCAGGAGGGTCAGGCTCGCAGGGCGTGTGTGACTGTGAATGGTAAGCGGATCGAACGTTTCGAAGCTATCTACTGCGGGGAAGGGAGCGAGGGAGCGAGCGAGGGACGGCCGAGGAATGAGTGTGGCGAGATTCTGCAGCAGCCTGCGCGCTCGCTCTGGTCGATGGGTCTGATTCTTCCGTGGCAGGCAGCTCCCGTCGCCAACCAGGGTCACCCTCCGGTCTGATCCTCCAGAGCACCAGCGAGCGAGCGCAACAAAGTGGGCGCATGCGTGCCCGCGTGAGTGCAGGCGAGGATTGTGGTCGCGAGGCAGCGTCGATTTAGCGCTGTGTCCGAGCGGGGGACGAGGGCGATTACGAGCGTGACGGGCCGGAGCGCGGGGAGCGGAGAGGAGAGGAGAGTAGACCTCGGGGCGCAAGAAGAGGAAGAGGAAGAAGAAGGAGAAGAAGAAGGGCGTCGTCTCCTGGGGAGTTTGCTCGTGGGCGCTCGGGCCTTGAAGGCCCGGAGAGAGCAGGTGGGGGCGAGGATTAGGTTATCGAACTGGGGGGTGGCAGAGTTTGCGAGCGGGTGGTCTGCTGGCAGGGGAGGAGGGTGCGCTGACCGATTTGCTCGAGATCTCGGGGCTGGGACTGGGGCGAGGTGGGGGAATTTGTTAGAACGTACGCGGAGTGGGTGAGGCAATTGCGAGGAGTGCCGCGAGGGCAGATTCCGGCCGCGCGAGATATAAATTCAATTCTCCTGGTTCGGTTGGGCAGCTCATTCGGTCGGTGGCTCGCTCTGCTTCTCGCGAAAGAGACTCGCACCATGGATTGGCAAGGACAGAAACTGTCGGAGCAGCTTATGCAGTACCTTTTGCTCGGATCTGCCCTCATCGCCTTCCTTACGGGCTACATAATGTCGTCTTACCGAATGATGTTGACGATCTACTTAATTGGCGTGGTCATTACATTCCTGTTCACGGTCCCGGATTGGTCGTTTTTCAACCGCCATCCGCTGGAATGGTCCGAGTTGAAGAATCCCGATATGCCCAGCAGTAGACAATTGAAGCTCAGACAGCAACAAGCTGCGAAGAAGGCCGCCAAGCCTCAACCCAAGAGGTGAAGTGTTTCCAGTTCGTCGCATTGCACAGTGGAACTCGACGATGCTGAGGAGGCCTGCGAGATGTCCTTGAGAAGACATCTCGGAGTCTGGACTAGATGCCTATCCTAAGCGCACCTCAACCGACGGACTTCTGCTACTGGATGTGGGTGGAGTTAAGCTACGTTGTTGAGCATGTAGGGCCAAGTCTGGGCCTATGAACTGATGGCGGAGATTTTCGAGAGTTGAATGAAAAGAGTATTCAAAGAGAGCATGGAGACAAACCATGAAATTTGTTGGAAGGAACAGCGAGTCTTTTGTTCGGGTGTAGCTGGTGCGATGGCTTCAACATTTCTAAATGCGTGCTAGAAGTCTTTTCCGCTCGTTTTTGTCTGTAGAAATACACAGAAGTTTAGTATCAGTACTGCTTGATACGTCTTATCTCGTACTGCCTCATACTAAACTGGGATCACCCAGCTTCTTTAATCATGACTGTTCCTCAGTTCTGATGTATATGCGATCTGGTGGACTCAATTACCTGCTGGAATGCCTTTACTCGTAGTCTGCAACAATCTTTGACTACAGAAGTGCGCAATTTGCAGCGGTACTGCCAAGATCCCAGCAGTTATCATCTTGCGTAGATGACTTTCACATCTTTCAAAGTGTAACTCTTTGCCTATTTGAGCTGGAAATTATCTCTTACACACATTTTGTGTAGCTCTGAATCCACCACTTTGAATGTCTGCGAATAATGATGTGCTCTCTGATGTAACGTCATGAACTTAGATGATGAAATTCAGTGACTCGTTGATACGTGTTATCTCTCAGCTCATTCAGCTGATGTAATGAACTCTCTCCAATCTTAAAGCAAGGGTGGCAATGATTCGTGCCGATATGTTAGCTACTGGCGTATCAATATCTTCTTGGGATCGTCTTCATCTGGACTTCAGTTTATATACTGTCAGGGTTACATACAGTACATTTATTTTTCTGTAATTAGAGTGCAATGGTTTGTAGCAGTATGAAAGGAAATTATTTTCCCGGTTGATTTAGATAGCTGGACAGTTGTGTTAATATCTGCTGCCCTCCTCCTCAATGCAGAGGGCGTTTTATTGTGAATGTAGTAACTATTGACTGCGTCATTCCACTCTAGTGGAATCATCTGGACTGGTCACTAAGTGGGTTGGTGGACGGATGGTGGGAGTCCGGATGTTGACGACGGGTATGGAGATTTCAATTAGAGCCGTTATTTCTTACAACATAGGTGACAGCTTTGTGACTAAGTTGCAAACTTTTGTTCCTGCAACTGCATTCTAGCGTCTTTATGGAAATCTGCAGACTGTTTAATTGTCGTTCGCCGTGTGGGCTCTTGAAATAAACACATCAGTCGACCGTTCCAATTCGTCGTTCTTCTTCGACCCTCGATGTTACTAAACAATGTAAACTTGAACGAGTCTTTAATGCCGATGATTGCGTATATGTCAACCTTTTCGCAAGCTAAGTATGACAACAACATGGAGTCATTGAGGTAGGACAATACTAAGGAAGAATAAAGTAGACATACCAATGACTTGCGAATTGATGACAAAATTCACTGTAAGTATGCCACTTTTTGACTCGAGAAGTGGCAAGCTTTCTTCTGTCGAGGATGAGAAAACATTTGAGGAGTACATGAAATGCTGTTTAAGCCAAAGCCTGTGCAGCTGTCTGTTTCTCTAAAAGGCTCGTCGGCATTTGGGCAGACAGGAAAGGGCAGCTTCTTAGACTCTAAAATTCTAGAAGATGAGATAGAGAGACGAGCCCGAAAGTTTTCATGGTGCTTGCTGTGATTGTAACTTTCAGACGCCTAAAGTGGTCAGATCAATCTCGACGTACGTTGTCTGATACAAATATTTGGGTGGGTAACTCAAAGTCATCTTACGTCAAAACTTTGACATTCTGAAACAGGCCTATCTAAGTCGACATATGTTACGTGTCTGTACGTGTGAGTACGTGAAACATGTGTCTCGATGAGAAGGAAGTGTCCATCCCTGTAGACTACGCACATTCCTATGCTTCGCGCTCAATAATGTTCCTACAGAAATCAGTTGAATGTGCAGAGCCAGACATGTGAATAGCAGCAACTTTAAGGATGGAGCATCATAGTTGGTGGAAGTGGGTGCGCGAACTCGTACAGATAGATGGGCACTTTTGACATATTGTATGCACTTCTTACTCTTCAGAATATCAGAAGGCTTTCATCTTTCAAGAGCTTCAGGAAAATGTGATAGCCGACAGCAGTCAGGTTTCGTGTAGCCTGTGGAGGGCATTATAACGCTGAATCCGAGGGGCCACTGTCAGAATCAGACTACTCCACATTTCTCTCCGATCTTCCATACAGCCCTCGTACTTTTCACTTGGTGAGACCGATGAAAGATGCCGGTACTCAGTATATGCAGATATGGTTGGTGGAAGATTTGACATGCATGCCAACGATGACCAAATTAGTTTCTCGACTGGATTTCCACGAGGCATTGAAACCGTGACATGCGTCGAGTACCTCTGTGTGACATCTCCTGCGGAAAACTTGCGCAGAGTTCTGGTCCAGCAGCTCGACCAGGAGGATTGTGTGGAGACAGGGGCATTAAAAGGTACGAACCGGAGATGAAAAGATTCCCATCAAACGTCGGGAAGGTGCTCCAGACCACAGTCCTGCAGACGCATCATCATGCCGGTCGAAGGATCATAATGATTTTCTCGTCAAAGGCAGTGTAACGTGGAGATTGTTATTCGGAATCGATTTTCATCGCCCGAAGGCCCGCCATGAACCTGAGCTGCGAAAGGCCTGACACATTCTCGACATCAACAAATCCAATCGACCCGCACCCGGAGCCAAACTTTTCCACAATCTCTTCCTGAAAACACCACACCGCAACACTCAGCCTTCCATGCAACAGATGTGGCCGAACGTACGTGGAACACCTATACATTCGACGCCCGCTAGCGTCTACTCCACCTCATACGGCCGGCTGTCGTCCACTCGCCCTTTTACCTCGTACGCCTTTCCGTCGTCCGACTGACATAGCGATTCACGGGCAATCGAGAGATTTACGGCACGGCCGAGGGCCGTATACAGGAGTGAGGAGCTCATGAGGTACCAGCCGTGACGCTTTTCTGTCCTCCGGCTGACCCAGCACTTTACGGACGGTCGAGAGATTTGCGGCACAGGATGTGCGCCTTTTGGTGTACAAACGTACCGGCCGCGATACCCACAGCTCCGCCAACGTCTTTCCCGTAAATCCTCCGTCCTCGTCACGCTTCCGGAGAAACGTCACGAGACGGAATCCTCGCCCGCGGATTCTCGTCGGGGTCCCGTAAGACAGTTGGGGGCAAAGGCCAAGCGTAGACACGATAACGGCCTCTGCCGGTCGCATACCTCACAGCTGTACGGAACTCGGGTCGCGCTGGAACCCGAAGAGAGAGAGAGAGAGAGTTACTTCTGCGCTTTTCTCGTTCCCCCCGAAGGAAGGAAAGAAGGGACTGATGCGCGGGATTGCGGTCTGGCCTGATCGGTCTCCATTGATTGATCTTTAGATCTTAGTACAGCAACCGCGAGACGATCTCGTGTTCACCAGGATTTCGTGTACGATGTCCTTGCTGGGTTCGAGAATATGGTCCTCGGGCATAGCATGCACCGGCCTCTCTGTTGAAGAGCTGGATTTGAAATTGAAACTTGGAAGGTTCGATGGTTATGTCAGGGCCGATTTTATCGTTCCGGGTTTGCGTGATGAGAAAGTTGCCACCAATTGCATCCATCTTGGGGTTAGATCCAGGCCCCGTCCTAATGCCGACCTAGCTGCGCATAGATTCACCACTGGAACTTTGAATTCTTGGGAAAGAAGGGGGCTGAGGCGAGATCTGGGAAATGGTGAAGTCGAGAGAAGTGGATTTGAGCTGGAAGAAGACGAGCTTTTCTCAGTTACTGCGGGGTCTGGGGACGATGACGAGGTGGACGACGGGAATGAATTTCGAAGAACGGGGAGCAGACGACATGCTGTTAGAAGGGGAAGAAGAGCAGCACTCCTTGTAGCTGGTTCTGTCGTGTTTTTAAATTCCGCATGTTTATGCTGTTCAAAGGCCGAGGCTGAAGAATGGGATTATGGAAAACCCAGCGGTGTGAAGAAATGGCAAGGGCTTTGTGCAGCTGGACCCAAGCAATCGCCCATAGATATACCTCTGAGTAAAGCCAAACGCGGTGAAAATCAAGGCGAGTTGATATTCGAATACGTGTCTAGTAGGCCTACCATCATGAATCCTGGACATGGAACCATGCAGGTTCGTCTGCCACTTGTCTTTCAAATGTTTAATTTCTTCTTCCCTTTCTTTTGGATGATTTCACGGTAGAGTGCCCCTAATTGTGCTTGAATGGACGAAATAGCAATTTGAATTTCACATACTGTAGCGATCCTTGCCCTAGTTCCTTACATATCCGACAGCGATTTCTTACATTCCTAGTGCAGTTGTACGGCGAAGGCAACTACGTAAAGTGTTCAAATATTTCAAGTATGCATAGACGGATTGTCTTTGAAGTCATGGAATCGTATGAGTATCACTGCTGCAATTTCGTGCTATTACCTTTCCTTGCTTTACTTGCTTACAATGTTTCCTGCTTCAGTGTTTGCCTACACTGAATTGCAGGTGACTTTTCCACACGGTGAGAATGTTTTGAGGGTTGGAGGCAGGACTTTGGAGCTCCTTCAGTTTCATTTCCACGCTCCCTCAGAGCATGCATTCAACGGAGACCGTTTTGATATGGAGGCTCACTTGGTACACCGTATGCTAATCAAGATCTCACAATCAATTTCAGTTTTGTATCTCTCTGTCAGAGAGACCCAGGATCTCTCGAAGGTTGTCGCTGATGGAATGAAGTTTGCACTTGATGCTAATGTGAGAAATAGTAGCAAGCACATCCATTCTACCTATCGCCACTAATCTACAAAAGGGCTTTGGCAGGTGACGTGTTAAGCAAGAGACTCGCAGTTGTGGGGTAATGACCCGCCATAATTTTGTGAATTCGTGCACACTAGTTGGAACAAATCAGCTTTTATTTGTAGCATGCCTCAGCTAAGATTGACTAGCTGCTCTCTTTGACTGCAGGATCATGCTGGATGCAAGCAAATCTGCGCTGCCAAACAAGGTCCTAGCAGAAAGTCTGGCCTATGCTCCCGCAGAACATGACCGATCAATGTACGCGCTGGCAAAGTTTTCTTCGTACCAAAAGCATCACAAGCCTGCTTTCCATGTCCATATGTTTAAGTCTTGTCCTCACAGTGTATTGGTTGTCTCATTCTACATATATCTGGTGCAGACATGTTCAAAATGTGACGTTTTCTCCCAGTCTTCTCCTGCCTCCCACTGCTAAGAAGGGAAAGGTAATTTCCTTGATCCTGGTTGAGAACCAAGAGCTCAATTTCAGAAAGCTGTACCTCATAAAAACTTCGATCCTATCTTTGTAGTTGCCGATTTATAATATTTACCAAATATATAATCTTTGCCGACTAAGATGGGCAGAGAAATCTTTTGATGGCTCTCAAAATAGTTCGATTTTATTTTGCAGAAAGGATCTAGGGGCTATATTCACTACATCGGTTCACTAAGCACTCCGCCGTGCTCAGAAGGTGTTGATTGGTTCATTTTAGGTGAGTCGGTAGGAGAGAGTTGAATTTTTTTACCGGATGAAGACTACCTTCCGTGCAGCGCACTAGAAGTGGCCCTAACATAATGAGTTCATGGATGATCTGCATTACCTGATTGAATTCTGACTGAATGCCAGAAAAAGCTGTGGAGATTTCCACCTCACAGGTGTTGGACTTCATGAAGTTCGCTGGGGATGGACACTCTCTCGCCTTCAACTCTGTGAGCTCCCTTGCAAACCCATACTCGGAAGTTTGATGTATAAACAGTAGTAAAACCCCAGCGTTTTTGCAAACAGTACACCAGAGTATCCAGGAAAATGACGCCTTAGATGAGCATGTATTTGTGCACGGCGAGAAGGCATAACCAACACGTCATCACGGCGTCATCTTCCTGTGTACTCTGGTGTACTTTCTACTCTGTCAGTCCGCCGTTTCTACATGAGAGGCCCGAATCAACCACCATTCATAACCTTGCATCAGACGTTGGGGGCACTCTTGGAGCCACTTTGGATCTACTTCTGCCACGTTCTCGGTCCGTTCTGGTCTGTCGAAGGTCTACCTATAATTATGTAGCATAGAAAAGTGTAAGGATAGACGCTACAATACTCCTGAATTTGCACCTGGTATTATCCGTGGAAAGATCGGCGTTTGTGAGTAGCGACTTCCGAGGGGAGTCTCTGTGTTCTCTTTGAGAATGGAAATCCACCAAGACGTTGAAAAGGAGTTTCTAGTCAGAAATTAATTATGATACTCCACGTATAAGCTCAGAAGTTGAAGCAATATTTAAGTGTTAAAGCTTAATTTACAGTCCGAAATCTTACTAAGAGTTCAATAATTAATCGTCTGACAAATAAACTCTAAGCCAGATCTATGAATTTTACTCCTCAAAGGCGGAAGAGGATGCATGCCAAAATATTCTACACTGGTTACGAAAACTTGAGATACTAAGACGAGACATGTTAAGGTATTGTAACGAAGAATAGTAGATCATCGAACTTATGAAGGTGAAGACACTGCTTACGTGTTCAGTCTCAGTTAATTGGAGGTTGGCTTTCGTTTCTTTTTGAAAAAGTTATTCGAAGATGAACTTCTGAATAAAAAACATGGAAGTCTAACTTCATCGGTCCTTGTAAGGTGAGTGAAGAATGTTTTGAAGGTACTTATTATCCTGTGCCGTATTATGGATGCCTAACTTGATGTGGAAGATTTTTTAGTTTGCTTGAAACTGCCTTCTCCGTGTGATCTCTAGCAGCCATGAGTAACTATTTATTGCGAAACCCTCAGAAACCGCAGTACTGCGTCCATGCAGTCATAAAACGTCAATTGGATCAGCAAACTATCTTGGAAGTTCCAGAAGAACACAATGGAGAGAACAAATGTGAGGACTGATCGAAATTTGCACCATCACATTTACTGACAGACTCCTGACGCCTATTTGCAGAGACCATTGCAACCATTGGGCGATCGTGCCGTATTCGAAGGCCCTTAGTGGAAGTATAGAATGGACTTCTTTTTAGCAGCGGCTGGATTTCTTCACAGCTCAATACCAAATTGTCTATCACTGTGAGTATCTATGGATGTGAAACTTTCTTCTATTATTATACCACAACACGTATAGTTGGCAAGGTGACTTTTACGGTAATGAGACTATGAAAGTTACCTGGACCCACTTCAATGTAACAATACAGGATTAATAGATATTCTTTTGTGACATACACCCGAAGTGTACAATCCTAACTGAAAGCTATTCCTTCAGCGGACTTTTTTTTATTGGGAATTGCGGCAGATTTGGGCGTTAGTACTCTTCCTGTTGTAGACCTAAAGAGCTTTGCTACCCTAAGCATGTGAGGTTTGCACCTGTAGAATGAAATTGTAGGAAGCCTGTTGGCATCATAGATTGTAGTTTCATGAATCTGTCCTATCACCTCAGTCCTGTCTACCGTACACAGCTTCGATACGATAGCTTTGGGAATATCGTTAAGATTGCTTCAAATGGTTTGCATACCTTTGTTGTATTCCACACTCTGTTGTACTTACCAGTGTGAAGTCATGTGTGACCCATGTCGGGGGTTGGCCTCTTTTCATTCAATCTAGGACCCTGAGATCTTGATCAAAATTCGAAAATACTTTCACCCAATTGAAAAAAGTTTTGTTTTTGTAACGCTTTGTAATTGGACCATTAACATACGCCAAACATTATTTCACGACTCGGTGGGCTCGAAATGATAATAACAGGGTATGTACTGTAAGAGTCATATATTAATAATGATAACAGTGATAGGATTGATAGTCCCATCCAGTACACACCAGAGCAAACGCTTATCCGCACATGGCATCATTGGGTCTGGTATATACCTCTTCCGAGTCCATGCCAGTTCAAAAGCACAACGGGTCCTCGTTAGAGGTTCCAATCGAAGCTCTCTTCCTCCAATGGCAAGTCGTTATATGGAAGTAAATGAGTAGGTGGAACAGGGCTGCAAAGGGAGGACATGTATGGACTTGAAGAAGAGCAGCGCGCGTAAATCGAGCCTTCCGTACCTCATCGATATCTCGAAGTCACGGACGGTACATGCAGCCGGTACGGGATGAAATTACTGTACAGTACATCATGTCATTCTGAACATGATCATCTGAGCCTAACGATCTCCTCGATCGCGTCTCACACGTATTGCTCATGCAGTCTATTCTCACTAGTTTCATAACATTGGGAGTGCGTGGTTCCTCGATTTTATACATTGTCTTCCGTTGAACACAAAGAGGAAAAAATATGAGAGCCGCGCATCATCGGAACAGGTGAAATACCCGGATATCCCATATGGACCTCGATATGTGAACTCGTGTTAGACCATAATTACAACATAGAACAAGTTTGAGAGCTCTATGCTCTTGTGTACCCAGTATAGCATTTTCCAAATGAAATCCAACAAAGTGCGCACACCAGTACCATGATTTACCCAGATAGGAATCTGGACATCAGGTCAGGGAATCTAACAAAGGGATGACATCGATTTGCTCATGCAATCCACTTATACCTTCACACTTTAGACTCTTTTGTTTCCCCAGAATCCAGTATCCAAGCCTAAAAATTCGTAGCAATCAGCATCCTGGTGACTAGATTTTATAGAGAAGTGTAGACAGTACGCAACTTGGCCATCTTCTGGCCGAGTGATAAAATGCCAGGTGAACAAAGCTATGTCACATTCGAGCAAGATCGAAGTGGCAGAAAAGAGCAACCCGATGACTCACGTCAACAGGAACGCCAGGCGTTAGAGAAATTCTCCATGCCAAGGCAGAAAGAAGCCGGAGACTCGAATGAGCAGCAGCCGAGCGATGGACAAGAGATGTGCAAGAGGCAGCAACCTATGGCATCGCACCTTGTGCGGCCCACAAGCGAACTCCGATAAGCGTTCGCTTTTGCTGCCTCCTGCTGGGCGAGAAAGATACTCGGGGCCCCACGTCACAGCCCCAAGGAGGAGGAGGACCACCACCACCACCACGTCGAGATTGCTGAGTGCGCAGAAAGAAGCTTTCGGAGACCAATGCCATCGCATCGGGCGAACGATCGTCGAGCTTGCAGCCCTAGGAAGGCCCAACAAAGATCTCCTCCGGATACGTACGCAGTCACGGGCTCACAGCATGAAGTGGAGGCAACTGGGGCCAACGTTGTCGCGGTCCTCATTGGAGAATCTCCTGCACGCAGCAACTTCTGACCAAATGGGAACGCAGTCCCGTCCTCCGGTTCCATAAATGTCGACATGTGCCCTTGTCAGCGTATTTCCAGCCCAGTCGGCTTGGCCTCGCCTCGCTTTTGCTGGCGTCCGGTGAATATCCGGGAAAAAGCATCTCTCAGAAGTTCACCGCACGCTAGCTAAATTTAGACCCTCGGGAGTTCTTGCCTTCTTTCTTGCTCGAATGGGATAAAGCGAGAGATTTTTCAACTCTTTGATTTTCTGGCGACGAGAAAATTTGCATCATCACGAAGCAATGAAGTGTAATTCGCAGAAAGTTCCTTGTACCTTGTCTTCATTTGGAAAGCGTGACATAGTCTAACCGAGATGGATGTGCAGATATTATCTTGGGAACAATTCCAAGATATCCGGACTGAATGTGGCGACTAGTTTGAAATTTACTCCTTACGTCCTATTCTTCCTCTTTTGGATTTTAGTTTGAGTCCTTATCTGCACAGTACACAGCCAAATTGGAAATTTTTGAATGTTTGAATGCTTTTGACGCAATCAATATCTTATGACTTTCCTCGGAGGAGTTGTGCAACGAGTTTACGTTTGATTAGTTGTAAAGAGTGATTTTAAAAAATGATGACTTATTCCACATCCAGTTTATAATATCATGGGATTAAAATATATATATATGCAAAATGATATATTTCTCTTTGCTGTATTTATGGTTTGCCAACTTGAACTTTTGGCTTGTATTCCATCTTCTTGAGAAATCTTAATGCGTATAAATCCTATAATTTGATTTTTTTGTTCTATATAACAGATTTTACTGTATAACAACACAACCATATTTTTTAAAGAAAATTACAGATGAAATATCATAAATACCATGAATGTTGAAATTGCGCAATCGAGACTAAAGTTCATCATTATATTCATTGAGTTCATATATATCACGATGGTCCTTCATATAGACCTAAATATAACTTTTAATGGCTAGAAGTTACATCATCTTGTAGTTCAAAAATGACATCAAATGATATATTCCAATACTATCACAATGAAAAAAATAATTTGTTAACATATTTGATTATCTTATCATACAATAGCACATAATTTAAACTCACCCTTCATTGCATCATGTTCAATGAGTTGTTTTCTATATAGCAGTTTGTACGATGATGAAAAAATTAAGACTATAAAAGTAATCACAGATAACATGATTAACTTTTTTTTGAATTTTCCTTAGCAACTCAAATACGATAGTTTACAATCTCAAACTCAGTCTAGTGAAGTATTTTGATATTCAAGTAATTTAACGTATATAGTCTATACTCTTTCCTTGAGATGCATAGAATAATACTCTAACATGCATAAAATGCATAAATTATAAAAATACAGGCATAATTATCTTTGCAAACATTTTAAATATCCCATAAGACAAAGTACTTGAAAATTAGCATCTTCCTTAAATCTGAAAAACTATACATAACTTCTAACGAAAAAATTCAAGGGAAATAAAAATTTATAAACTTTCAATATGACATCTTTTATTTTTAGTGTATTTCAATCTACTCTTACAGTGAATTTTTTCATCCATGATTAGATCAACGATTTGCATTCTTTTTTTAACAGATTAACATAAAATTATAAAAAAAGTTAAATTTTCAATTGATTCTTTGATAAGTGCTTCTTAAAAGTTTTTCTTTCTTACAGAAAAATAGTTTATATGAAGCAAATAAAAATAAAAATTATTCTACGAGATCTAAAGAAAGATTTTATTTTTCGGATGATTCCCATAAAAGTTGAATAAATTCCAAATGCTTGTTGTCTTTGACAATAATTTTTGTAAATTCATGAGATAAAGAATAAATTTTGTAAATATAAGTAAAGATTTCATAAACATAAGAGCATGGATTTTTTTTATGTGATCTACAACCAGTTTTTGTAATACTTTTCAATATGGCTTAAATAAATAAAATAAATAAAAAAAATTAAAAAAAATTAAAATTTTTTTAAATAAAAAATACAATAATATTTATTGATCAATATAATAGATAAAAATGTGAAAATTGAAAATTTTCAAATATATATATTATTCTCTTCTAAAATCACTAAATTTTTTGTATGCAATTTGACATAAATCCATCTTCTGATTTTTTTCATTTCATTATATATTGATGTAAAAATTTAAAATAAAATCAATTTAATTCACTGATTATGTGATGACCTTATATAAGCGCAAACATCTGCAAAGTAGATAAATATCTTATCGTTTGAATGCATATAATAATATATTATTTATTCAAAATCTTGAAAATGTAACAAATTTACATTCATGCACTCGAATCTTTCATATTAGAATTGTGCCTGTAAAAAATATATATATAATTTTCCAAATTTTATTCTCTCACAAATATTGCAAATAGTCCATATTATGATACTTACTGCTATTTACAATTTTTTGCATATTACAGATTTCTAATTCTATTCTGAAATGATTATGATTCAAATAAATGTAAAGATCCTAAAAATTCACAATTTTTTTTTCAAAATAGAATTATATATACAAATTCTTATTTAAAATGAATTTTTGAACAAATCTTTTATTTTTAATAATAATCGTTTCATAGTAGCTTTCATACATTTAGCCTTGATGAATTAATTTTTTTAATTATTCATTATTTAAATTATGTAATAGTTTCATAATCTGGATGTTGAATGTGTTCATTGGATTTCACACATTATTTAAATAGTGTATATTTTTCTGTTAATTTTTAAGTAAGTAAAATTTTAAAAATTCCAAATATATATAAAATAAAAATAAACCAATAGTACATAATTATTTTAATATATCAATAGTAATAAATTAATAAAAAACACCTGCATAACACTTGTTATTGATTTCTTTTCAATATCTTGCATTAGAAATATTGAGTACAATAATGCATGAAATATGAGTTTATGCTTGTTGAAAAATGGTAATGATAAAATATTTAGTAAACAATCATAAAATCAACCATTTACCACAACAGTAGATATTTTGATACAAAAAATATCTGGTATTAATGATTTCAAATTTCATTTTTTTAATAGAAATACTTACACGTAAAATATTTAGTCTTAATAAACTTAAGATAGAATAAATCAATAAATTCTGAGAATTAAATTGTTATTTTATGAAATTTATTTGACTCTTAATAAAAGTTGAAAATTTTGTGATTGAAAAAATGTCAATTTTTGTAAGATTAATTTTTTACTTTAAAAATAATTTTTTGGATATCAGATTCAGTTATATAATTACATGTCAATTATTTTAACTTATAAAATTTATAAATCTTATCATTTTTATTTTGATCAATATGAAAGTAATTTTAAAGGATTTTCTTAAAATATGTATGAAATATAATAAAAATAATTCACATATTAATCATTTTCAAAGAATATTACATACAAGGTTAATTAATTTTTTTACAAATATTACATAAATTGTGAATAAAAGCTTCAAAAATTGTGCTATGAAGTTGAATTATGGCTCTTGCAATAACAAGTTTTGTTGTTTTTTCCTTGAAGTATTATAAAGAGTGTGAATTATGAACATAAGTTATACATGTCTTTGATTCTTCATTATCTTTGAACTTTATTTTTTCTAATTTAAAATCTAAATTTTCAAATGAGTTACTAATAATGAATTCAAGATTTTTATCATATTTTTCAACATCTTGAAAAATTTTTAACATTGAAATTATTTTTTATATCCTAAAACATATGTAATGTCTAATTATTATATTCATCATGACCTAAACATATTTTTTATCCATCATTTGATGTATGCTGATTTTTTTATTAACCTATTAATGTACAATATTTTTACTCAATGTTTTTTGTTTATCATGTACATATACTACACAATTTTTCCTTCATTGCATTTGGATTATGTTTGAAATTTGTTGAGATATGATCATTTTTATTTTTTAATTTTATTCTACAATTTTGAATCTTTCACTATTTGATGATTTTATGAGGTAATGATTATATGCTAGCTGATTTCATCTGGATTACAAGTCTTATAATTGATCACGAACAAAATAATTGAAATTTTTTTATATCATTTGTACACTTTCATAACTTTGATATCCTTTAAATTTGACAATGTGAATTGCATGCAAGAAATTTGGAAATATCACTACTTTCATGTCTCATTACTATGTTGGATTCAATTCGAGTTTCGGGTTAACTCTAGTTAGTTGCCAGATTAGCTGCCACTATATATACTAGTCGGAATTCGTTATTTTGCCGTAATTTGATTGGAGCTTTCCCAAGGACGTAGCCCTTGACTTAAGGTTGTATCTAGTCTTGATGATTCCTGCTTTTTACCGTTGTCAATTCTTGGCTCTAACTATAAAAACAAAAGACTAAATTTGTTTGATCTTGAAACCACAACATTGTTCTTTAGTTTTTCTCTTTGCTCATCAATTGAACTAAAGTTACACAATTTTCCTGAATGAATGTTAAGGAATAATCCTTAACATCATTATGCATTTTTTTAATGCAAAAATTCTCATGAAGACTTGCACTAACTAGGTTGATGAGATAAGTTTTGATTTGGTACACATGAATTTTCATTTTTACGTGTACCAAATCAAAACTTATCTCATCAATCTAGTTAGTGCAAGTCTTCATGAGAAATTTCATTTTTCACTTGAGAATTGCTTTTTGATATGCAAGGAAAGTTCATATGACTTGTTGTGCATTTGGAAGATAGAGGCTCGTTTAAGATGGAGTGCCAGTAGAGATTGAATGTTTGTTATGTAAAATACTATAAATCCGAGGTGGTGTTTATATACGTTGCAGTCAAATTGAGTCAAGTTTTACAATTGATACAGATGAGGTTATGATATGAAAATACATTTGACATAAAATACAACATCTCATATGAAATGACTATCTAGCTTTATTGGTAGAAGAATTTCATTGACAATGAATTTTTTTTTCATGGATGAACAAAAACTGGGTTGGCAACATAGAATGTCTATTATAGATATATGTGGAGAAGACAAACATTTTTTCCTTTAGTTTTGGAGCTATAGATTCTGAATTGTTGAAAGAATGTCAGTGAAATTATTAATATTGCGAGAAGAGTAATTTTTTATTTTTTTTAACATAAATTTTATATCCTAGCCATAGAGTATATCTGTTTAACGTACAACATTGGCATTTGTGATCCATAAGAGAGCAAGTAACCTATATGAAGAGTGTCAAAGTTTGATCTAGATATTCATAATATATATTTTTTAATTAAGATGCTATTGGATCTAACCATGAAAACCACTTGTTCTTACCTTGTGCTGATTGATACTATCTTTTCATCCATTCCTGATATCCTACTAAAACCTATGAGACTCATACCACTTTTGAGTTCTGATTAGATCTACGCCTACAGTACTTAATGTTTACGTGTGAGTACCTTTTTTTCTCTCTCGTACTTTACTAAACTTCAACCACCCAGTTGATGTGGACACAGGAAAAGTTGAAATTCTCTCTTCGGATAAGTCCCACAGTCGTAATAGAACCTAAAAATTGGTAACAAATGAATACTATCGAGTCACGGTGTATATCCGAAGACTTACCTCTTATTCAAATACCCGACTGACCAACTGGATTTTGATCACATAATGTTCCTATCTTAGTCGAATATTGGCCGAAATATTTCACCTCATCTCGTATTCAAATTGTTTCTCCAGGTTAGATCTCTCAGTCAAGTCAATCAAGCGCAAATCTATAGAGAAGTTCAGTTTGGTGTGTACATTTGACAGTCACATTCTCCAGCAATGTCAACATGCAGATCGATTCGAGAGGCATCCATTCGAAGAGCGGGGAGGACGGTGACTTTCCGTTGTGAAGATTTTGCACTCTATCCGATCGGGACGTAACCGCAGAGATCACTATTCCCGGCAAAGAATCCAGTTACAGTCACCGCCAGTTAACTTCACGAGCGGGGAGGCGCGGGATGGAGTGATCGTAAAGTACGAATGTTTTACTGGGGGGTCTACCGCCCTCACGCCAAGCGGTTTTACGTCCGCCGTATATGACTGCACACGGCGGAATGCAAGGGATGAGAGCGTACCGCCGGGCGCAACGTGGTTCGGGTCGGTCAACCGCGGACGAGCGAAGAGTACCGTGCGGTACATAGAGACAGAGGTCGAGACGCCTGGACATGTGGAAGACGGTCCACGTACGCATGGCGAGGCGAGACGAGGCGAGGTGAGGTAGACCCAAGTTACCATGCAGTAAGCGACGGTAACCGTCGACCGCCGATCCAAGGGCCCGATGAGCACATGGCGAGCGAGAGGTTCGCCTATGCGGTAGGTTCGTAGCATCGGTCGGGTTCGCGAACCGCACGGGAATGTCTTGGTCGTAAAGACGACGACCTGCTGCCCGCCCGACCGCTCGGCGCTGCCCGTGCAATGCTCAAAGGCTTGTCGCCTTCGCGTTGAGGCGGGGCACGGGAACAGAAGAGAGCTCATTCATTCCAGTAGAGAATCGAACAGTAGGCACGAGAGGAGACAGAGGCGAGGAGGGCCGAGAGATAGAGGGGTCGGGAAGGGAAGGGAAGGGAGGGGAGGGGAGGAGGGAGGGCAGGGGAGGGGAGGGAAGCGAATTGGGAGGAGATTGAGTGACTGTCTCTCGGGGAGGGAGGAAGGAGGGAGCGAGGGAGGGAGTGAGGAAGAAAGGGATCAGGGATTCTTCGGATATAAATAAAGAAGGCGGTGACGAATTTGGGTCGAAGCGCAGGAATTGGAGTGCGGAGGTGGGGGGAGTGGCGCTAGTGGATTTGTGGTGGTACAGATCTCAAGTTTGAGTGGCGTGTCGGTGAATTGCCGCATGCCGGAGGAGGATAAGAGAGGCGTGCACACAGAGTTGGGATGCAACGGACACGCGGACGGAAGAGAAGGAAGGGTGGGGAGGCGGTGATTTGTGATCTGTGGGGCAAGAGAGGCGGGTTTGTTCGGGGCTTCGGTGACTTATTTCTGACAGATTTGCCGCTCTCTGGGGGTGTTCCATCAATTCTTCAAGTTTTCTTGTCAGTTCGCTGGCTCTTGTGTACGGTGAACGTTCTGGCTTGAGGGTGCTGCAGAATTGGTCTCGTGGTTGCGAATAACGCTTGGGACATCGACATTCCATCAGTCAGTCAGTCAGTCAGAGAGAGAGAGAGAGAGAGAGAGAGAGAGAGAGAGAGAGAGAGAGAGAGAGAGAGAGAGAGAGAGAGAGAGAGAGAGAGAGAGAGAGAGAGAGAGAGAGAGAGAGAGAGAGAGAGAGAGAGAGAGAGAGAGAGAGAGAGAGAGAGAGAGAGAGAGAGAGAGAGATGTTTCGGAAGGCTTCGGACTGTGGCTGGTTTGGAGCGAAATGGATGTTCCGAGAATCACTTGCTTACAGCACCTAGACTAGTTTCTACACGTTGAGGACAAAATGCTTGCAATTCAGAGGGAAAGAAGGATATTTGCGGGGTCAAGAGGTGCGCCAGTGGGGGGTGTTTGCAGCCTGTTGCCGTAAACCTCTTGTTATTGTACAGATTGAAAGTAGAGGGAAGATTACGTTCTGTTGATAAGCTTGTACATATTTCGAAGTTTCCGAGCGGAGAATAAAACCGAGGGAGCCTCATTTGTTTCTTGTAGATATAGGTAACTATCATTGATAAACGTCCTAGTTTCTGCCTACCCTCGTCTTGAAAATTGTGTATGGAGAGAGAGATGATGATTGAAATACATGTGGCTGAAAATGGGAAGTCCTACGAGCTGGAGTGCCAAGCTTCCACGACCATACAAGACCTGCAAAGCATTTTACCGCAGATTTCTGGAATTCCTGCCCAGGATCAAATGCTCATCACTTCACAGGACAATAGACTGGAAGCAAAACACACTTTGCAGCATTATGGCTTACCGAGCCACAACAAATCGGTTTTCCTTTTCAATCGATGTCGGTTAGTACTCAATTCTCCCTACCCTCCCGAAGAGGAATTTGAAGTTTTCCACGTTGAATATCCTCCCCTTCCTACCAGTGGTGGAAATCATCCTTTGGACGAATCATCAGATCCAGTCCTGAAAGCCCTGCCCAATTACTACAAACTCTTCAAGTATCATCACGCGGTAGCGCAAGCATTTAGCACTGCTAGCAACATGAGATTGGATGCTTGCAGGAGGCTGTTGAGGGAACAGGAGATGCAGGAAAAAGCTATGGAAACCGCCAGGGGAAATATGGATCACTTCTATAGAATAATAAAGCAGAATTACTCCGAGTTTCTGAGGAATTACAACCGTTTGTCCAAGTATCACTCGGAGCTTCTGGAAAACTTTGAGAGAGATCTGGAGCGACTGAGGAATTGTCGGCTCCACCCTGGTCTGTGTTCAACTCAGTTGAAAACACTTCTTGATTGTGTCAACGAGTCACGCGTAAGGAAGTGGGCTGAAGAATGTTCGACTTCATTTTCGCAATTCAATCTGAAGGTGTCTGCTTTGAAGGAGAATTATACACGTTTGGACAATAAAGTGCAAGTTTTGTTCAACACGAAAGCCACTGTGGATGTCAAACAGCTTGCTGGAACCATCGAGGATCATGCTGGATGCATTGAAGAGCAGAACAGGATCATCCAGTCTCTTGGGTCAGTAACTGGTGCTTTTTTTTGGGGGGCCAAAGTGGGTTGTGGAAAGGATTTGAATGACTTTGCTTCTAGAAGAGGTTTTTCAGTCCTCTGAAGAATCCCTCTATCTCTCTCTGTAACTTTTTGTTTCAAGTAATGTGGTTATAAAGTTTGGTTATAAATCTTTTGTCCCTATGAAAGTTGGAATTCTCGAGTTCAAGTGTGCAGATTTATGTCCTCATTGAGCGGATATTTCTCATTCGTGTGCAGCCTAGAGGTAAACCAGGTGAAGAAGCTGATGGACGATTGTGTCAGCAGCCAGTACGCGGGGTCTGCACGCCCACACAAGGCTGTTTCTGCACTTCGCAGTAGTTATGACATACAGAAGAAGAGATATTTGCCAACGATGGAGTCGACCGATAATCAGCTGCAGTCTTTACTCGAGCATTGTGAAGAGAGAAAAACGGCTATGACCAGGTCTGTGCATTCACGGTTGCAGTCTGTGGCATCCTTGCAATCAAGTTTGAAGGAAATGCGTAATCAGCTTGCAGCTTACAAGGAGGCAATGAATCGTCAGGCGACTATATTCTCCCACTTAAGGTTAGTTCGCAGAATGGGGTCAGCCTACAAGGGTTGTCTAGCCGAAGTTGTGAGGCGAAAGGCCTGGATGAAGCTATTTATGGGGCAAGCCGGTCAGCTTGCCGAAAGGATGGCGAGGAAGAGAGAGGCGGAAGTTGCACGAAGGGAAGAGTTTTTGAAGGAACAATCTCACTATTTCAATCGTGAAGTATTAGAGCTCTTGGGTTTGTACGAGAACCCCAGTCAGTGTGTGGTGAATATACCGCCATTTGACACTCAATTGCTTGAGCTTGATATAGTAGATGTCGAGCGTTATGCTCCCGAGGCATTAGTTGGACCCCTGCTGAAAATATCAGGTACAGATGGGCGAGGGGGTAGTACTCGTTCTTTGTCCGATAGCGCTTTTCATACTGGAATCGAGAGTCAAGGAGGCAAGGAAGATCATGAAGGCGAAGTCGATGATGATGGCGACAATGATGAAATCAACGGTACAAGCAAGCTCGAGGTGGAGAACGCTTGGTTGAAAGCTGAACTCGCTTCAGCTGTAGCAAGGCTTTGCCATTTGGATCCTGAATTTGAGCCTGAGGAGGCACGAGATGTGGATGATGTGGGGTCCAACAAAGATTCTGGTCACCAGACAAGGTGATAAAGCTTTTACAGCTCCTTATGTTATCAATGTTTGAATTACAGTTTGTGTTCGAGTTTCAGCAGCTGTTAAGAAGCCCAAATCCTTCTGATGATGCTGTTCGTTGTTCTTCATCTCTACCTGTCATATCCACTTACGGTATTTTTAAGACATATAGTTCCCTTTCAAGAGAGAATCATATCTCAAACAGTGTTTCAGTGTGACGAAGTTTGTTTAGCTACAAGATTGGATGTTACCTTTGGGCTTATAATATTTTGTTAACATATCAAGAAGCATTCTGTTGTTAAATGTCCTTGTTGTACTGATACAGAAGATATTGACCTGCAGATCTGCTGTCCAATCAATGGTTGACGCTTTGCGTTTGAAGGATGATTATGCAAAGCATTTGCGTGGTCTCTTGAATATGAGGCAGAGCCAGTGTAAAGTTTATGAAGACCGTATACGAGACCTCGAACAACGTCTCCAGGATCAACATTTGCGAATGCAGAAGTTCCCAAGCGGACTAACCACGCCGGACCGGAGAGATCACGGTGATGATTCAGAAAATTCAGGCTTAACTGCCCTTAGGTGTCCAGGTGTTCCCGAGCCCATGGATGAAGGAGCGAGTAGTTTGGCCGCATATGAGGGGCAGCAACTCAACCAGTCCGACAGTGGCGGCAGGGAAGCAGGAAATGAAAATGTACAGACAGACAGAATGAGGGAAGTGCCTGATGAAGCAATGAGCGATGTTTCTGGTGTTGTTTCAGGGTTAGTTGATGCTGCAATGGAAGACGGTCCGCGTAGGTCAGATGTGGAATCTACAATTGATAGATCTTCGTCGGGTGTAGTGGAGGTAGTTAATGTAAATAGTAGATTAATCGAAGATTCCACAGGAGAATCTGGATCCGGAGATGCTGCCAGCTCTCAACCTGCTGATGCTGGCAATGGAGAATTGGGGGCTCATATTAGAGACGATCATGTCTTAGCGCTTGAGAATATGCTGGTACAAAAGACTCAGGAGTGTGAAGCTGTTGAGGAGAGACTGAGAGTTGCCTTAGCAAAAAGTGACCGTTTACTCTCTGACTTGGACAGCAACGCAGAGCTCCTAAATGAATGCCAGGTTGGTAACAATTTGTGTCCATTGTGTCGTATCTGTCCCCCGCGGGGATCGTTGCACTGACGAATTAGGTGGTTGTCTATATGGTGTACTTAATTGTGGACAGTCGCTACTGTTATAATTAGCTTCATTGATGTAATCTTTCCTCAATGCTTCGATTTCATGATTTGAATATGGGATCTGACTTGCAGCTTATGGGTCATCGTCTGTCAGGTGAACATTTCTCATCTCGAGAATAGGTTGCATGATGCGAGGGAGGAGGCAAGAATCAATCTCTGTGCAGCAGACCGTCGAGCAACGGAGTATAATGCCCTGAGGTCATCTAGTGTTCGTCTGAGAGGGCTCACGGAACGTTTGAAAAATTGCATATCCACATCTGGAGGAGTTGGTTTTGCAGACGCTCTTCGAGCATTAGCCGTTTCTCTTTCCAGGTAAACCAGTAGTTACACAACTAGTGACGCTATTCAAGTTGTTCTCCAAGGTCTAACGTGGACTGCATAAGAAATAGAAGGGGATGTGTGGGAACTTATGTCCGTATCATCTGCCCCTCACTTTTAAGTTCTTGTAGTTCTTTCTCTTCAGGTGTTGAGCTGTGTTGACTGTGAGGAAACGTACGTACCTTGACAGTTGTGAATATGTAAAGCCTTCTTTTTCTTATAGTTGTGGAGGTGAGAATGATGTCATCTGCCTGTTGCTTGCCATATATACTCCTTAAAGCCACATCAAGCGTGTTCATACCAAGCGAACCTTCACCTCTGAGATTCATTCCATATAAAGTAGATGAAGGTTGTTATCGAGGCTTTACCTTTTGCAACTGTAGTTTGTTCGTGTTTATCCATCAGAAAGCCCTCTAACTTGTGGTGTACATTCTATCAGCCCCAGCGCCAGTGATGCAGGGGAGGATGATTTCCGAAACGCCATCAAAACTTTAGCGGAGAAAGTTGGAGTTCTTGCTCAACAACGCGCTGAACTTTTGGAGCGCTGTAAGATTGCAGAGAACAACCAAAACCATATGACCAAGACTTTAGATGAATTGAAGAAAAAGCGTCAAATGGAGAAACAAGTAAGTGAAGACCAAATGTTGGTATGGACTTATTTTTCGAATTAGATTACGAAACTGCTTGGTTAAGCTTTGTCAATTGCTTCAACGAAATTCCCCACACAATTCATTGTTACCTGATGTCTTAATGCCGTGGATATCATACGGTAGAGGTTTCATCTTTGAAAATGTTTATATTCCGATACTGCACATCATCCAAGTAACAAACTTGTATCAACTCGTGTTTCAGGCGAGCAAGGAAATGATTTGTTTTACCCGTTTCCAAGTTCATGGGTTAGCAGTATTCATTCAGAATGGGAATGGACATTACGAGGCTTTGAATCGGAACTGCCCACACTATTATCTCTCCGAAGATTCCATCGCTTTATTTTTGGAGAACTTGCCAAGCGGTCAACACTACATTGTGGGACAGATCGTGCACATTGATCGAAGTATTGTAAGGTCGGCCAGTGGTAGTCCAGGGGAAAGTGAAATCTCCGGATCTAATGTTGGAGGTGGATCACGATGTAATCCATATGGTCTTCCGGTAGGAACTGAATTCTTTGTGGTCACCGTAGCCATGGTTCCTGACTTCTCGCCTCTATCTTTGACCATGTGAGCTGAAGGCTTCTTGGTCGTAGAAGGTTCTTGGTATGTTTTCAATTCAATGCAGGTCTTTTGGGGTTGGGACGTGACGTTCGTTGTAGAGCTGCAAAACAACTTTAGGTGAAACATTGTGGACACTTTCTTCAATCTAATGGATGATTCAGGATGGTTTTGTCCTTTCTCTTTCACACGTCTATCAAAAGGATGCCTTTTTTGACATAGCAAGTTGTCCGTCAGATCGTGCATTGTTGAGTCTAGCAGACAAGTATAATTTACTTGTTGATTATATTCGGAATGATTGATTTGTTGGACAATGGGACAAAACACTTGCTGGCCGAACTTACGCCAGGAAATTTATCGATTTATTTATAGTGTTTTTTTTGTGGACGAATGTTCTGAGCCGGGGTTTCTAGTGTGTAATGTAGAAGACAAAGACAATAAGACCTGGTGATATATTTGAACAGCTAACAATGATAGAGAAAAAGAATCAAATAAATATGAAGAATGATCCCTCCTAACACGCGAAATCAAAGCTGATAATGAGAAGTGGTAAGTATTCATGTCCATCTCCAGAGCCATAGATAACCTTCATATTGATGAGAGACGTAATCTGACATTCCATATCTGTACACAAGAAATATCTAGTGTTTGATCAAATGTATGTGACACTTCCATCTTAGAACACATTTCAGTCGGCATGATAGTAATATCTTCTCGACAAGTAAGGCCTCTGCATCCATGGTCTGTCCTCCAAATCACGAAACCAAGTAACAAGTTACCGAAATTCAAAACATAAGTCAAAGCTCCTATTAGCAAAAAAATTGAATAAATCTATCAAATCTAACTAAGATGGGTACACTCTATCCTAATCATACGCACCTTCAGGTTGGCTAGCAGATGTATCAAACGAATCCGCAAATGTAATTTCAACGTCTATCCACAGTATATAACTACAAGTGTCATGATATGTTTGCCTGATCAACTTCATCTGCAAACTTCCGTTTCTTCTCGACGGCTGATGGAATTGTCATTATTATCTATTTTAAAAATTATATTTGGAAGAATTGTTTTGAATTTTTTTTGGATAACACTCTGTTTGATTAACCAGTTCATCGGTGCATGTGAGAGTTTCAAATTGCTTGTGGACACGTGTAGAAGGATATCGTATGCATGTTACTGTCCTCGTCTCTGCACAGTCCCACGAAGAATCATCGCCGGGATTTGATTTTTAGCTGGAACGCTGGTCTTACCTGAATTTGAGAACTAGTAGCATTCGTCATCATGTACTTTCCAAGTACATCACTAGAAACCTTCCAGACATGTTTGAATCTTAAACGTACATCTCTCCATATAACCTCTTTCCAAATATATACATTGCTTGATATCACTGTTGATAGCAATCCATTCATCCTTACCCAGCAAAAGATTTTGTATTTTAGAGTTAAACAACACCAGTTAATATGAATAAGTATTTCATCAAGGTGCGATCTAGAAAATGATATCATACCGATCATTCAACAAATGATAAATTTCATCAGTTGTAGCAATATTGTAATATTCAATTGACGAATTTCACTAGTTGTTTTTTGAATATTAAATCCAAAACTACTAATAATATAAGTATCAGAAGCAGTTAATACATTCTCTTCGCAGGTGATTTCTTCATACCAGCAGCATTAACGTGCCGAATCTTATCAATGATTGTGTTGATCTCAATAACAGTTGTATTCATAGTGAATTGAATATAAAAATCAAAGAACACATATAATTATATGAAATGAAATGATAAAATCTCACAAGCAAAATATTTATGACAAAAAAAAGGTTCAAGTATCCTTATCATTCTCAATACTTTGCTTGATAATTTATTATTACTTACATTATAAAGGCTTAACTACATCTATATTGTGATACAATCTTCGCTCAATGTGGATCCAAATTAAATGATCGTACTCTAGATCTAAATTATATGTTGATTTCAAGTCACAACAACTGCATATGCTGATGCATTCAAATACTTGAAAATATATTCAAATGTAATTTAAAAATAAATAAACCAACTTATTTTCTTTATTTTGAAATATTTTTTTGATTTAAATTTCTATTATGCTAATATATGTATAAATACGAATTAAAATATTCCATACAATTATCAACACACCCTTTAAAGACAAAATACAATCATATTTGTAACACGTATTAAGATAAAAGTTATTATTTTAATGATCAATTTTATGACTAAAATTATAATACAACGTTGGATAATCTGTCTTTGTCATATATGATTTTATTTAAGAGAAACATTCAAATCAATAAATTTTTTTTTATCAGTTGCAATTCTGTATTTTTTCTCGTAGTACTTGTTTATGTTCACATTGAAAAAGAAAATTAATCCATAACATAGAACATTGAGTCTTATTACATTTTAAAGTATATGAAATCATACCTTTCACGTTATTTATAGCAGATAAACTTACACTATCATAGAATCATCTTCAATTAAGATAATATAGTTCAAAAGTTGATGTTAAAACCAAAAGGTGTTAACTTATTTTTATCAAATGAATCTTACAATATGTTAATCATCCACAATTAAACATAACAACCGAAAAGAGTTTCATGCAAAATTCAAATTTTTTTCTCCATCAAAAATTAAAAATTTACACTAAATCATTCAACTTACTGTTACATTTTAAATCTTTGAATTATCTACGATTTTCAATGAATTTTTTAAACATTGTACATGTGTCTCAATTGAAGTTTATTCAACATCAAATGAATGTTATAACATTCTTTCTGAAGTTTTCTGAAGTTTTAACACTCGCCAACTGACTGTAATCTCTTCTCTTCACCTCGGCTACATTAGTCCTCGGGTGAGATTCGCATTCTTTCAAATATCATAAGTTTTAATCACAGTCACTTGTTAAATTATTTTCTTTTAATTGAGTTTTCTATCTCAGACATCTATTTTGTAATCGACTACAAATGCATAAATTAGAGATGAAATCAAGGTTTTTCATCATATGTCTAAAAAAACTGGTAATAATTTTGATTTATAACATTAATAATCTCATAGAATATTATTTGAAGCAAAAAATGCAAGCAGAAATATCAATGCATGACATTATATTAACACACGGTCATCATGAAGCTTGCCATGAAAATATTATATTCATTAATTTTCTATAATATGTTCAATTTACATCAGTAGTTTAATTAAAGACTTAAGTGTAATTGAATAAATTTCAACTACGAATATTCTGAATAAAAACATCAGTAACATTTCCATTTGGGGAGCATATAGTTGGCCAATATGGAGTTGTATCACAGAAAAAACATGAATGATGATTCATGAATCCACAAACATATTATCCAAGATTGAATGAATCCAATCAAAACCAAGATATTAAAATTTAGAGCTGATGATTTTTTCTATCTATACCTTAATGTATATTTTCTGGTTAAACATACTGTTTCTTTAAGCTATCTCTTTTAAAGTGTAATCTAACTCAGTTTCTTTTACTGTATCCATTAATCTTTTCATGTTTTTAAATATTTTTTTTGATTTTTTTTGAACTTTGAACATAAAAGAAAGCTCGAGCATAGCTAAATTTTTCTGGTGTAGAATTCTTATATCACATCTATCGTCCATTATGTATGTCAAATTGCACTTCTATGGGTTAAACAATGAAAAATTATAGTTGGAGAAAGTTGCTGTATGTGATGTTTATTCTTTAATATCATAGATCTGTATTATATCTATTGGTAACTGGACTTATACGGCCCCAAAAAAATGACTACTAGAGACCGAATTATACCAACATACAAATTATATTATGTGAGATTACATGGAGATGCGAGAATGCACACAAGAGAGAAGTAATAAACTAAGGAAATTCTCCGTTCATGCAACACATCGGATACGTGAAGGCGTTTTGAAAATAACCGATCTTAGAAATAGCTGGAAGTTAAAATATTTGCTATCGAGAGCAAGTCAATAATTATGTCGATGCCATGGAATGGGAGCCATAGTGTAGCCCGGTATCAACTAAGCCAGAACTACGGAAATGATTAAAATTCTCCGAATCAACAATTATAAAACTATAAAAACATGGGTCGGTATACTACGACCTGTTATCTTGGATTACCAGGTGATGTCATGTTTTGTCTGACTAACTATTTTCTAAAGATAATAACCTTGAACAGCGATACTATGTTTGGTAAGATAGAGACGTTATAGGCTTGATCTCGCGCGATGAGGGTGATAATATAAACGTGCATCTCACATATGACGTGAGTTATCTTAAATCTACACCACTTTGCTATAGCATCCTAAGTTTATTGGGTACGGTGCACTCTCCAATGCGAAAAGATGAGAATTATTTATCTTTTCAGTCGAAAACAACACCACAACCACGTGGGAGCAAGTGAGAGTAATATTAAAACGGGACGAAACAACACTAAGATCTAAATGAATATAACATCAGCTATAAACTAGACTCTGTGACACTATGTGACGAGCTTAAACAAGAGTTTCGTCCTTCTATGCAGCTCAAGGGAATCCTGCATACAATCCACTTTATCATGTTCTTTCCATTTTCCATCATCAAAACACAAACCTTCAATCATTATTTTTTGCTTCATTCTAACATTTTGGCCGGAAGGTTTTATTCCAATATCCTCATTGCCACCCCGATGTCCATTCTCATCGAGGACATGCACATCCTGTAATCCAACACAGGCGGAGTCCAGGACTTAAGGCTAGCCTCAAGAATAGATCTGGCATTTTTCACTAACTTCGGTTGTCGCCGGAAAATTTCGGGTGTCGAAAATTTCGGGAAATAATGATATAATTAAATGTAAAACTCAGAACAGGATAGAATTTCAGAAAGTTACGAGTTCCGTTTCCGTTTGCGGCTGGAAAGTGCGTTGGTGTCGAAGTCGTCGGTGGAGCCAGGGAGCGAAAGGGCATCCGTCAGATCCCGTCCGTCCCATGGGAACGGGGCGGAATCCGTTGAATCCACGGGAGGCGACGGAGATCCACGGTGGAGCGAGGGAAGTAGCCGGAGGGCGTCCCAAAGGGCCAGTGGCCGAAGGGAGGGCTTTGGCGGGTTGCTCCGGGCCTTGAGTGGCTCCCGGCGGCCCAAGTCTGTGGATTGCGCTCACAGAGGCAGAAGCGGGCCTCCACCGGTCTCGGTCTCGGTCCAACGGATTCCACGCCCGCTCCGGATAGAGGCCCAGCGGATGATGGCTCTCGCTCTGCGCGCGAGCGACAGGCCATGCCCTAAGTTCTCGTGCCTGGATTCGGACGATCAAGAACAGCAGGCCAGGCAAAATTGGGCATCGTCGCGCTCGATTCACGAACCGCGTGCTCGAAGATGCCGATTCCAGTGGCGCTGCGATGTGATGTGATGTCGTCACAGTTTTGCTCCGTTTGGCTCGAGAGCTCCTTGCGAAGCTTCGCCGATCGATGCGCGTGGACTGGACTGGACTGCACAGATACAGCTTGGCCTCTACGGAATCTGTATCCTTGTACGGTAACTTCCACGGGTTGGACTTTTGCGTCCGATCTTGAAAAGGTGGGATGAAAGTAGAAAGGCCTGAGGGAAGTGAGAATCTCACTTCACTCGGGCTTCATAAATATTCATCTCACTGTGAGATGAAATTCTGGAGGGATCGATGAGTAGTTAGTTCCTCGACTTCCTTCCCTTGTGTCTGGGAGGAGAGGCATAGGTGGAGCACCGCAGAGCGAACTCATTAGGTGGAGGGTGACCTCTGGGACATCCGAGGTTTGGTCTGATACGGCTTGTCACTCGATCGGGAGTCTGAAATGGTGAAGAGTATGATGGAGTAATAATGAATGTTTACTACCCATTGTGATGCTACTGGGGCCTAGTCCTATTTTACCCGTTTGGTTTCATCCATGGACGGGTTGTGTTGATGGGGTCTTCCCGTCCTTTCTGTTATTTTGCTTTGTACCTCCCTTTTAATGAATGAATCGGGTCATGGAGAGCTCACTTGGCCCCCCGTTCCACGGAGAAGTATGTAGGTCTGGGGGCCTTACTGGAAAAGCAGTTTTATGAACTCACTCGCGAGCTATAGTCACGTGCGGACGCCGAGTAACTCGATAGAGGACATGCCATGTTCCCTGCTAGTCTTACTTGAAGGGGAATGAATCATCAAGGCAAATGCTAAGCGATCTCAGCAATGCCGCTGTGGGTGGGCCGGGGGGATTGGAGTAAATATCCAATATAAGATCTCAGCCACAATAAGCAAAACGAGTGGTGACTTTCCTCCAGAACTTCCCCCATGTGGAAAGAGCTGCTTCAGCTGCACGAATGAGTCCAGCACCCATTGCAGCCCAGAGAAACGTATGTGCTGGATTGGTGGAGAGAGTGTCTCATTTAACATCGCCGAGAGTAGTCCGAATGCTAACATTAGGTAGTTCTGATGACTAGGATTCGGATGGCATCAAGTGGAGAGAAAGACTTCTGACACAGATTCGTTAGTCCCATAGGTCTGCATGTGTGGCTGCAGGTAAACTCAAGCGATAAAGAGATGTTGTCTTGCTTTCGCCTAGAGAGGGATACGTTCATCTTCTAGCGACGATGTAGGAAGTATGTGATTCAGGGAGACGAATAGTTGTATGATGAGTATTTCACCTCGTTAAGTGACCTGCCATAATCTGTGGCCAGAATCATGGTTCACTCAACACAGCCTTTGCAAGAATGATAGGGTTTAGAAGCATGGAAACCGAAGATGCTTATCACAAACAGTGAAGTAAGAAATATAACGCAAACTTCGTATAAACTACACGGATCACTTTTCTTCCAAGTCTTGGTTCACTAACTAATTACTGATTTACCTCAACGTGATGACACTGTGCAAGAATCAAGATCATTGTTGCAAACCCAGAATTTTTATGCCTGTGTTCATTTGCATGATAATTATAAAACTCTTGGCATTACAAGAGTCGGACTGTCAGACGAGGAAAACTAAAATATTGACGTATGGTTTCCGTGAAGAACTGTTAGCCATTAGGCGGCCGTGATCGAATAATGACAAATATTTTATTTTCTTTGAGTGCCCGCTTGTGAACTTTGAAAAAACGTTATTCTTATGGGCCCCGGGACAGTGGAGAGCAGGCCTCGGCCCCAGAAGATTGGTTTGCAAGGTCTGATAAGAATGAATGAATGTCTGGATGAATTTGGACTTGAGGGGAGAGGGTGCGCAAACGCAAGAGGGGTGGAGGAGGACCCACATGGGGAGGTAAAAGGATGCATACGAGACAATGGTTGTGAAGAAAAGAAGGTGCACATTAGACAGTCCTATTGGCTGTGAGTGGGCCCCAGTAGGTTCACAATCCTGGATACGAGAGTGAAACCTGGTGAGAAAAGTAGGAATGTCAGACATTGACCGGTGGATCAATGTATGGAGGGTATATGAGGACCATACAGTCTGAGCATTATCCGGAAGAGGCTTCCCTCGCTTCTTCTCCTCTGGTTTCCTCTGAAATTCGACTTCATATCTGAATACAGACACTGCTGAATTGTAGACATTGAAGGCTCGGTCTCTGTTGCCACTCCTCGTTCTCTTTGCACGCTTCGCAGAGCAATTGTGAGAACGAAGCTAGTCGTGCAGCAATGGCTCCACGGAAGGTGATGGAACCTGACACAATTAACGAGAATGTGAGGAAAACGAATTATGCTGTACGAGGAGAGATCTACCTTCGCGCCTCTGAGCTGCAGAAGGAGGGAAAGAAGGTCAGTTTCCTCGTGCCTGTATGATGTTCAAGGAATGCAATTGTAGAGGCCTTCTTCCGTTCTCTATCCACGGATTGTTCGGGGCTCTTCAAGAGATGTTTCTACGTTCCTGATTGAGCTTCTAACGTGTGTTTCGTTTTGGCCATTGAATTGTCGATATTGCCTGATTCACCGACTAGCATTTTCATTCCGTCAGTGAAGTGCCCGTGGACACACAATTTTCTTTCAGTTCTGCAGGACTGAAAGCTGTGCTTTCCCCGTAGAATTGCACCTATGTGGATTGAAACTGCATTCTGAAAGTCCGCCTCGTATGTCTAGTTTCCGCATCCGATTATCTCTGCTACTCTCAATGTCTCTTCACATCCAACTTCTTGTAGTCTGTAGCCTCTGTTGATAATCGTCACTTGTTGCCGCGAGGGTGATTTCCTGCGAGGGTATTCCGGCATTTAACTTGTGCCGTGATCGAAACTCCAGTGAATTGTCGTCTTATGTCGAAGCGTCATACGAAACGATCTCTCCATCTAATCCTACTCACAGGAAATGCGAACTCGCTTCAGAGAGATAATACACAGTGGGAAAGGAAATTGTATCTTTCGGAACTTGACACGATACTTCGGAATAGAGCATGATCCCTTAATACTTATATTGTGCATGACCTGGGAGTACAAGCTCGATCAAATGCCGATACCCATAGATCAAATTCATGGTCGTCTCTCTGCTTCTTCACTAAAGCAGAGCTGTGCAGCACTTCCGATAATCGTTCACTGAGTTCTAGACTCATCGGCAATGGAGGTTCCTGTGTTTCGTGAGAATTGCTTCTATTGATGTCATTGCTTATTTAGTGAGTCAGCACTCCTTGATTCTACCATTCTTACCTTTGAGATAGAACTATGTCTTCTTCTCTACATGCCCGTATTGAAGACCGGGCTCCCAATTCTGTATTTTTCCCAGCAATTGCCTTTACTGGGCACAGATTGGTTGACTCTGACTGTGCTCTCGTTTGTTTTGTCAAAATGCGTCGAACAGATCATTTTCACCAATGTCGGCAATCCACATGCATTGGGTCAAAAGCCTCTCACTTTTCCACGACAGGTAGGAGTGTCAAGGCTATATCTATATCCTTCGCCACAAAAAGATCTTGCATTGTGAAATGATTCCACTAGGAGCATATTTTAGAACTGTATCAAGATGTCCACTTTGTTCAACATCTTAGCACTAGTTACATGATTTCAACTTTCAAAACTAGACCGTCGACACAGTTGCCGTTGGTGTCCATTGCAAGCATAACTAGGAAACGACTAGTTTAATGTATTGAGGAAATTCATGCTCCTCCCGCATCTTAATGGCATCATGGAGGAAATGCGGATTTTAAGCTGCTTGTACGTGATTGTCACGAACTCATGGAGCCGTGTATTTTCAGGTGATGGCTCTGTGCCAAGCTCCGTTCTTGATGGACGACCCCAACGCAGGCATGCTGTTTCCCCCGGATGCCATTGCGAGAGCGAAAAGCTATCTCGCTATGACATCTGGTGGTGTAGGTGAGTTCAAAACCACTTTAGAAGGACGTCCTCGCAATAAGCGGCTGAGGGCCTTGACCAGAGTGCAAGTGTTTTTTCTTTCTCGGGGCACGAACGGATTGCATCTATTTATTAACATAATCAATGTTTATGTAGTTAGTAGTCGTAGCCGAAGCACAATAACGACCCACTTCTTGTGAACCTTCTGTTCGGGCGAACTTGTGTTGTGCCTTGAAGTCAGTCAACAGCCTTCGGTATGTGACCTTCTATGTCCTTTCTCTTCACAGGAGCTTACAGTGACTCGAGAGGGTTGCCCGGTGTACGTAAGGAAATTGCAGAGTTTATCCAGGAAAGGGACGGCTTTCCAAGGTAAGCAACATCACTGTTCTATCTTTAATGGTATCAGATACTAATTTGTTTATGGTACTTAATGCATCTCTTTCTGTGGCCTTCGATGCAGTGACCCGGAACTCATCTTCCTCACAGACGGTGCAAGCAAGGGAGTGCAGCAGGTGCTGAACGCACTTATCAGAGGAGAGAAGGATGGGGTAAGGTTCAAGATTACCATTTTTGAAAGAGAAGATCAACCTGAAATTGTCACTATCGCCCAATGTCACATATTGTCAACTTATTCCACAGTTTTTATCAGGTGTCAATTCTACCATGAGACGTTAATGTACAGTTGAGAACATGTACATTATAGAACAATAAGTCGTGTTTTTCATCAACTAGAATCTTGTTGATTGATCAAATCCTTCTGGAGCAGGTGTTGGTGCCAATTCCTCAGTATCCACTTTATTCAGCATCAATCACTCTCCTTGGAGGCACACTCGTACCATACTACTTGAATGAGGAATCAAACTGGGGCCTAGATGTTGTCGACTTGAGAGCGCAGGTGGCCGCTGCCAGGAAGAAAGGCATCACTGTATGCACCTCAACCCTCTCTGTCTGATTGACCCAATTCGATCGATTACTTGTTACGAACGTATGTTATTAATGAACCGTTCTGCACATTGTCATCAATCTCGTACTTGGTTTGACTATCGCCGGCTGATTAGGCCCTTCAACTGAGACGGGTGTAAATTTGTGGGGCTCTGAATGCAGGTGCGAGGACTGGTGTTCATCAACCCTGGAAACCCAACGGGTCAATGTCTAACTGAGCAAAACCTGAGAGAGCTTATTGAGCTCTGCTACACAGAGAGGCTGGTATTGTTGGCCGATGAGGTCTACCAGACCAACGTGTATCAAGACCAGCGTCCCTTCGTCAGTGCAAAGAAGGTAGAATTAAAGTTTCCATTTCAGTCTTCTAGTATGTAACCGAATGGTTACACACTACAAAAATGTAATGAGTATTTGTGAGAAATTACGCCGATGTGTTGCGGGCTTTTCCTTCCATGTTAACCGCACCAACCTGGGAACAAGAAAGCTTTGAGATTGTTTCAAAGGTTTTCCTGCGCCAACTTTCAACCTCGTGACTTGTCACGCGTTTGCCTACAGCAGCTTGCTTCTAGCAACGATCGACTACGAGGAATCAAACTACGCAGTCTAACGGGCAGTTTTATCACCTGTTTGTATGTTTGTCAGGTTCTAAAGGGCATGGGCGGAATCATCAGCAGAGAGTTGGAGCTCGTCTCCTTCCATACAGTCTCGAAGGGTTTCCTTGGGGAGTGTGGACAACGAGGTGGTTATTTGGAAATGACCAACATTCACCCGCTGGTGAGACTACACAGTCCCATACATTGCCATGTGTTGCCTGTATTCTGTGAAATTACAGTAAATACTGGCTTCTTTCCGTGTCGTTACCTGAAAATGTCTCCGGGCACCCATTCGGTATCTCTATCTCGAAACTCATCTTTTTTTCTTGGAAAGTGTGTACCTTCGAGCATGCAGTGCGACATGTTGAAACTTGATTCGTTCCTTGTCCAGATTGTGGAGGAACTGTATAAGGTGGCATCTATTTCACTTAGTCCCAACATTACCGGTCAAATCATGGTGGGTAAATTTTTTAATCTGAATTGTTGAATCTCCTAACCCACTTCAAAATAGTAAATTATGACGACGTTCTCACTAAACCACAATACTCTTTCGAGATGCAAGATTAGGATCAAGCATATTAACGAGTCACTTCCTTCAACCCTTGAGGTGAATCATTATACGAAATTTGGATTGTTTTATAACGTCGATATTATCTGGATTGCAGCTGGGTTTGATGGTTAAACCGCCAAAACGAGGGGATTATTCTTACCAAAAGTATATCACTGAGAGGTTAGTAGCGCTTCACAGATTACAGTTGCTACCTTACTTCAAGAATTAAGTATGTCTGCTCAAACCTTATGCCGTACTAAAATATGAGCCCAAATTTGCAGCAAGGAAATATTGGAATCTCTGAGAAGGCGGGCTCATATTATGACGGATGGATTCAACAGCTGCAAGAACATAGTATGCAACTTCACTGAAGGTAAGAAGGTCATGAACTAACAGATAAGGTCTCGTACATCAGATTGTTAGGCGTGTCAGGAGGAAAATTGGTTTCGTAACACTCAACGATAAAGTAAATATCACTTTTTAGGCCTTAATTTTTGTTTTAATGATCACTTACGTCGAAGATCATCCTCAGGTGCGATGTATTCCTTTCCTCGAGTGATGTTGCCACCTGGAGCTATTGCCGCTGCTAAGAAAGAAGGCAAGGCCCCGGATGCGTACTACTGCTTGAAGCTTCTGGAGGCTACCGGAATTTCAACTGTACCTGGATCAGGCTTCGGTCAAAAAGACGGGTGAGTTTCGTTGCTTAATGATAATTATGCGTTGCAATCTCAAGTTTTATAATAAACATTTCGAACAAGAACAAAATATATTTTAAATATAATTCGCGAAGAATATTTGTGGAAGTAAGAGAAAATTGGCCTTCTAACTTTTTGCTCATTCTCGATAGGTCTTTCCACATGCGAACAACAATATTGCCATCCGAAGATGAAATGCCAGCAATGATGGCTGCATTCAAAAAGTTCAACGACGCGTTCATGGCTGAGTACAGCAACCAATACGTATCTAAATTGTAAACATGAAACAATAGTCTGTACAGCCAAGATAGTAATCAGGAAAATCCTTAGAGGCCGATCATCGTTGTCTCTCGAGCTCTTTTCCAGGTTTAGGATGCGATCATCGGTGGTTGAGTTAGACATCTGCAGATCCCATCTGTGTATAGTTGTGAAGTAAGTGGTAAAACGGTTTCTGTATGCCTTATGAAATTAGAGGTTGTTGAAAACTACGAAGTTCAATGTGTCCTCTTTCTCTCATTTTCAAGAGACGTGCCACTAATAGGTTGTAGAGTGGAAACTCTCTACGACCATAGGATTAATATTTGGAGTAAAACCGCAATGGAATTTCGTCAATGCACACAGAATATCTCTTTGTATGTGGATGTTAAAAAGTGAAGTTTACGATCTTTCGATCAGCTATGTACAAAAATCTATTTACTACTGATGAAGTAGAAAGTATGTAAATACGCCAAACAGGAAACAGTAGGTAAGAGAAAGTTGGAAAGAATACTTCTGGGAGGAAAGGGAAAAACTAACTCCTCGCACATTCTTTCACATTGTATACTAACTTGTGGAAAGAATAAAAATCTTTTACCCTATTGTATGCAACTCTTCTGAAACAGAGAAAAAAAAATTTTCATTCTGTTATTTCCTAACTAAAAAGGAAAAAAACATATATACTATTTAGTGAAAAAAGAACAGAAGAGTTTATATGTCAACTTAAATGATACAACAAAACATTATCTTAGTAACAGAAAAAAGTATGATATAATCATCTATGTACATTCTCATTCTCCAATATGCAAAATTACAATAACCATAACATGGATAAATCGTACAATTTTGACAAAACAATATAATATAATCCAAAAAAATACCTGAAAAAGTATATCTTCAAACCACACACAAATATAACCCAAATTACCATTACAATTAACAGATCATGAATACATCATCATGTCAATATGATAGAAATGTTAATTCTAATAAAAAAAAATGAAGCATATATTTTTTCTCAATAAATAAATTTGTACATCTTACACTTCATTATATTATTTGCGTCGATAGGTAAGCTACTTTCTTCAACAATCAAAATGTTTATAGATGAAAGAATTGACCATACAACGCATATAATTTGTTCTATGGCTCTTTGTGATGAAAATTTATCTCAAGAGCCTTAACTCGTCATTCTTATCTATATGCTTTAGAATCCAAGTTTGCAAATGAAATATGACTATACTCACTGCCTGTTCCTTGACATCTCTTAAATCCTCGTCGCTGTATGTGGGTGATTTTGGCCTCATGATCTCGCCTGAACCCAATGATTTCAGTTTGTATTTCACTTGTATTTCACTTGTTTCACCAGATAATCATCACGTCCATTCGTTGTATTTGACTATATCATAATCTACTCTTTCAGATTTTGTGACCGCCCTCTCATTCGGAAGAACACTTGAAGTTGTAATTAATACTATTTGAGTGATTTTTTTTCGCTCATTCGCCACCTCCTTTGTCACATACGAACTCAATATTCTAGAAACAAAATATTCCGTTGAGATGGGATATTTTATCGAGCAAAATACTACAACTCAAGGGTCGAACGTCCTTGGTCCAACGTCCCACCGTAAATGTTTGACGACGGTCAATTAAGGGTCAACATCAATTAAATGTACTTGATCCAAAGTTACAAAGTTGGAAACCCTATAAGCCAAATTCTGTACACTATACAAGTATAAACACTAATAATTTATTTACTTTTATGTTACATCCATTTACAACATAATCATTGTATAATTGTAGTTAATTAGAATTGATTCACAAGGAAAGAAAAAAGTGTCAAAAAACTTAGATTTAAAGTTAAATTACTAGAATCCTCCTTATACAATAAGTATGTACAACAAATTAATTAATGATGAGATCTCTAGCCAAATTAAGAGAATTGATGATATTGATGAAAATTTACTTTGACTACAAAGTTTTATTTCATATACTTATTTTCATTTATAAATTGTTTCATCAATTTACAACGTTATCATTGTTAATCTGTAATCGATAATTTTAAAAAAATTGGCAAACATGTGGAGTTAAAAAACATGTTAGAGTTTATACCTATTGTTGGTTACATGAACTGTCACTTAGTGTATTTGAAATCCAAACAGCAGCAAAAGCATTTTGCTTTTGCTGCTGTTTGGATTTGCTTGGAGGATTGGTGGGTTGCTACAATTGGTGGTCGGATCTTCGGCTCCGCTTTTTTTGTGAGCGCTCATTTGTTTGCTGGCTCTCTAACCGCGTACAATCTAATCTTCGGGCACCCGCTCTTAACGTTGAAGCCACATAGATAGGAGTCAACCGCGAAGCAGCAGAGGGGAGGTTAGATGACGCGACCACTAACACAAAAATTTGAGTTCATGAAGTAATTCCTATAGTAGCTGCCAGGATTATTGTGGCCGTTTCCACTGTGACTTCTTGATTGTCGCACTTATCTTCAACTATCGTAGCCAGCTTCAAATTGTTCGTTAAAGTCTTCAAATTAGCCTGCTTCTCATTTTATTTTTTAGGCAGCAAAAACGTGATGACCGTTGATGTTACTTTTTTCCATCCAACTCCATTAGTGTGAGACAAATAGGTTGAGGTTTGGTTCGGATGATTGCTGAGAGTCAAAGCCAACGAATGGTTTTTCTCCGTGTTGAGCCTTCATTTTTTCTAGCTCTTCAATGACGAGCAAATTGAAGAAATTTGACCATTGTAGGTTGGTAAATTGAGCAAAACTACAATGTATATCTTTATCTTGGATGTAGAATTTGACCTTGCATGCAACTGAGCAGTATATGTATGGATGTTAGCTTAAAGTCAAATTCAGCAACAGGTTTCTCTCGATGTCGAGCTTTTTGGTTTTTTTCTCCTTTATGGTGAGCAAATTGAAGAAATTTGACAATTATAGAGAGGTAAATTCAGGAAGATGACTGTATATTTTTATCTTGGATGTAGTTGTCAACCTTGCATGGAACTCAGCAGAATTGTAATAGCAGATAATTATTGATATGGAGCATAATGGTATAGATTCAATCCCACAAGGACAGAAACAACCCAAAGAATCTAGTATAATCACGATTTAACAATTTATTACAAAATTTTAATTCTTAGTCACCTGTCATTTCCATAAGACATTGCAAGCACTAAGACCGAAGGCATTGTATTGCAAGGTAGAATCACACTCAAACCTGAAAATTATCCAATAAGATCCTACAGAAGCCGCACGCGACGTTGCAATTGATATTGCTACCTAAGTATATTACCTATTGTTACCTAATTGCCGATGTCCTCCTACACTACTAGCTATCAGATATGTCACATGATGCTCTAGCTCTTGTAGCTTCATCCACTTGAGCATTTAAATTTTTCATTGCACATAACCGCAAAGGAATCAGTTTACCTTTGCACACAAGGCCGAATCCGTCTGATCCGTTAACTGCTGATTCTTCGTCTTCATCTCCAGCAGTTTAGCCTCAACTGAGATCAACTACTCCTCAATTGCCAAAAGTTGAGATTGCATCTCGTTACAATTTGCATCCAACCTCTCCCTCTGCTCCAACTTTGAAGACCTAGCAGTTTCACAATCCGCCAACTCCTTTGTCTTCGTTGCCAATTCTATTGCATGCAAGTGATCGCGCTTCGCCAGATCCGCAGTCAGCTCATCCACACGACGAGATTTCTCGGAAGGCGATTGCGGATCAACTGTCGCCTTTTGCACATTCTCAATGTCAACCCGAAGGCTCGTGCTATCATGATTCGATGCACACAAAGATACTTCTTCGCTGCCAAACTCTTCCGAAGTTAAACACACTCTGACTTCAATTGCTAAAGCCGCTTCTCTTGCTCTACAAGGTAGCCTTGACGATCGCGCATTCAGAGGTCAAGCTCACCACTCTTTCGGCTAACTCCGCGGATGCTGCCATCTTTGCACGCGTCCTGCTACGCACTAATTTGACGTAGGATCCCGCTATGGCTAGCTCGGCATACTTCGCCATCTCCTCATCTTGATACCTGAGCAAGGGGATGATTCGCTCGCCCAACATGTCCGCTGCACTGAGTCCGGCCGACTTATGTTTTTTGGCCGAAGGCCCTTCGCCATAGTCCAAATCTACTATACTCAAAGATACTTGAGCCGAATGCACCGGTTGTTGCTCCATCATCGTTTCCCCCACATATTCCACCATGCGATCTACGAATTACTCCAGCGAAGTGGGGTCCTCCGTTGTGTCTGACAATTCCGCGGGTACCTCCGAACACATCTTCCACGAAGACGTATACACTGTTGGTTGGCCCGAAGATCAACGTCCCTGACTCGATGTCTCCATCTCTGTATCACCTCCTTGCTCTTCTGCTTCCTTCGACAGATCTTCCGCTGGTACTGCAGAAGGTCTTCACTTCGAAGGCCGAATGTCTTTCGCCGAAGGTATCTCTTACTCCGTTTTCTCAATTTCCGCTTATATCTCCGCCCACTCCGTCAAAGTGATTTGACCCTAAGATGCAGCTGCGCTGCCCTCCATGCTAACTTTCTCCTCACTGGGCATACTTCTCGCCTTCATCTTGCTGCAAGCACGCACATTTGCCGATCTCATCTTCATAAGAACCGGCATTCAAACTCAAATTCCGACACGTTCATCAATTGTTTTCGAAATTGCGACTCGATGTAATTTCTTCTTCTTCTTTGGCCGTTTCTCGACCTTGTCCTCCGACTTGTTGACTTTGGTCGAAGGCAATGCAAGCGTAGTGTCTTCCTCCTCGTTGGCTAACTCGTGGACTCCCAGCGTCTCCTCGTCGTTCGCTGCCTCCGGCTCGAGCAAAAATTGCTTCTACTCGATTGCAGTCAACAAACCCATCCCTCGATAAAAGCACATGAAGAACAGGAACATAGTATTTTTTGATCACTCGAATGTCTCGCCAATGTGCTAGCGCGTAGTAAACCACAGAATGCGTGTCTAATGAATAGGCTTTATTGAATTTGTGACCTTTGGACTGACTTTCATTCAAATTAACTTGAAAGTACTTTCTTGTAGCTCATCATGGTTTTAGAACAGAAATATTGCTCTACATGTCTCTATTTAAATAAGCTCACACACAATCTTTTCACTAATAATCCAATTTTGAACACTCATTGACACTCTAAGATGATAATATAACTCAAGCTTCTATTCAAGAAACAAGTTTTCACGCAATGAACTCTTAAACTTGCTTGAGCTCTTTTCTCTATCTCTTCATTTATATTACTTGAAAAATTATCATATTAACATATGGTAATTATTATTTAACTTACTTTTATTGAGATAAACTTTAGTAGATTTGACTAATTCTTATCA